CTGTATTTCTAAAATTACAAGGATAAAGATTCAGATAATATTTATAGGGCAACAAATAGAAAGGAGAACAAACAAAAAAATAAGAGTTTTAAAACCTACAATGCATCTAAACCGCTATTTTCTATTAGTTTTTCTTATAAGCCATGTCCAAGGCAAGCTACTGTGTAAAATTTGCAGAAAAGATTTGGCATATAGGGCTTTCCTTCCCTCTCCTAGAGCCTGGAAAGAAAACCAAGAAGGAATAACGTTTTCTGTTAACATGAAGGCAAATAAAAATAAGCAAATGTGAACTTCTAGCTGGCAAAGCTAAACGTGTGGCTAGGTAACCATCTCTCTTAGCAATGTGTGTGTGTGCCTTCAAAAGAGGCTCATTCTTGACAAGTTACTGAGATCTATTATAGTAGTTTGTCTGACACCTACAAGGACATTAGCTATGTTTAGAAATGAGAACATCACACTTGGAAGCAGTGATCTAAATTACAGACCACTTTAAAAATGATATGTCTATAAAGAATAATCAGTTGTTGTTCATCTTTTCCATCATCACTTTAATTTTCCAGTTTGAACTTGAGTCACACAGAAATAATTCTGCTTTTTGAGGAATAAATCCTACCCCAGTATACAAAAGTGAAATGACAATAAAACCTATTGTCATAGGCTTTTGCAAGCAGCTGTGATTGCAACATAGATGATTTAGAATTATTTGTTCTGCTCATCATACCTGAACTACATCCATGGCTTGAGTCTCCCCAAACGTGAGAGCTCTGAGCACACAGACTAGAGTATTTTGCTTCTGTAGAGAATCCTGTAAGTTTTGGCTCCAGTATCCAAGACAAGGCTAATGGCAAGGTGTTGTAATCAGTTCATTCATATTTTGGTTTTATTTTGTAATTGGTACTGACTATTCTAATAATAAGGAGAAAACTGTATTGCCTTATTATAGCTGCTTATTAAAATCTCTGATTGTGACTCATTCTTTGCATTCCTCTTTTGAAGAATGGCACTAGGAATAAAGAAAAAGAGCAAATCATTTTGCCACAGTTACTGATACTCGGCCAGACTTTCTTGTATCCTTTAGAGATTCTTACGAACTTGAGTGTTACCATGGTTTCTGCTCTGGGTTTCTAAGATATTCAGATACTACTTTTAAAAAATCATTTCAGTGATTATAGTTTAAAAGAACCTTCTTCTATAAATAAGGTCTTCAAAGGAGCCTTTTGTCTTTCAGGCTGGAAGAGATTAAAGAAAAACTTAAGTAGCTTCCCTGCAGGGCAGATTTGGAGAAAAAGTTGAAGCATCTGTTTGTTCTCTGCCCTCTTTTTCCTAATATAAAAGCTTTACTGAGGACAGAAGTTGTTTTTTTCAGTGTTCAAAGAATCCAGAGAAAGGAACACTTTTTTTTTTTTTTTTTTTTTTTTTTAACTTCCTCTTAGTGTCTTCCTGACTTCTAAAAAAAATCTGCATGGTGTCACGGAATTATTATTGTCTGATGATCCAGAATGACATGAGTATTGGGAAAGTAAGATTGGAGTAGCCGTGCTGTTCTGAAAGTACCTACCAATGCTTCTGTAATTCTTGAGAAGACTCCATTCAGAATTGCTGAGTTCCTTCTCTAAGGAATGATAGATAGATAGATAAATTATCATAGATAATTTACAGGTAGATATATCTATTTTAGGAAGAAAATATTTGCTTCCTAGACTCCATTAATCAAAGTGAATAGATCTTGCTTTCAGAATGTGGTAGTGCATATGTTTACAGACTAAACGACTGTATTACTTGAGAGCACATTTCCAGTGGGCTTTTTTCCTGGCTCTCTATTAAATCTGAACTCTCTGAAAAACTTAGGTTGCAATCTGTCTGCATTTTCTCTGTTGTGCTTGTCTATCCTGCCATCCCCTCTTTCCTCTGTTGGCACTATATCAATTATACCAGTATTCTTGGAGAAGCTGCTTAAAGAGTCAGAGGTGAATTAATGCTAACTTCATGGTATTTAATTTGGCAGTTTATTCTTCCTTTTTCTCCTTTAGGGTTTAGCACAGGATTAAAAGGAAGTCTGCAAGTTGGTTTATAAAATACTGTTGCACAATGAACCCATCCAGCCTGAGCATAAAATACCAGTAATTTGCATTGTCCTTGTATCTTACAGTTAATTTCAAAGAATTCTCACAGTTACATTATTAAATTCTTGTGATAGAGGAACTTCTTAATAGCATTACTCAATGCAGTATTTTAATTAATTCAGCTTTTTTCATTTATTACTATTTATTACTTATATTTGGAGACCAATTAAATTGCAATTATTTGTGAATTTTCCAAGTCTTATTGCATTATCCTTTTTGAAATGCAGTAGCATTAGACTTTCACAACTTAATTTAGGCATCTCAATCATAGGTAGCATTGTTTCCATGCCTTCCACATTGCTAATGCTGACGGTATTCTGTTATATCAAAGTGTGGTGGAAAGTAATTTTCTGTCTTAGTGTGATAGTAAGCTAAGTAAGTCTTCCATATCTCATTGTTGCATTTTAAAATTATGCTTTTTAATTATTTCATTATTGTCCCAAAGCGCTCAGAAATCTTATAGCAAGAAATGAGAAAAGGCTCTGAGTAACACAGTCTAGTCGAAGGTGTCCTTACTCATGGCAGGAAGGGTGGAACTAGATGATCTCTAAGGTCCCTTCCAACCAAAACCATTTTATGGCTCTACGGATTATTGCAATTGTCATTAATTTTATTTGTGGATGGTGTCAGAATATCTTTATTATTGTTATCAGTAAGTGAAATTTCCATGCTTCTCTATAAATATGTAAAAGAGCAAATGCAGATTTAGAAGTAGAAAAAAGATACAAAAAATTTAAGAGTAGTCCTTAAATATTTAAAATTGCTACATATGCCATTCATCTTTCATCTGAAGTAAGAAAAAAGTGCAAAAAATGAGAATTTTAAATTATAATTTTTTTACTATATGTAAGAAACTGCCAGGAGTCATATTTCAATCAGTGTTAGAAGTGTTCAGGTTTCACAATCTCACAAATACAGAATATGTTGATACAGCCAGCATTTAGTTTTTCATGGTTCTTCATGCATGTGGCTAGCACAGATGTAAGAGATTCTTTGAAGCAACTGGAAAAGATACAGAGAAATTGATAAACACCTCAGCGTTTTTCAATTGCTTGTTAAATATTATTGAATACAAAATGAAGCATCATTTGAGTCTTCAAGAAAACACTGGAAAAAATATTGTACCATTAATGTAAGGTCAAACGTAATAGAGTCAATTTACAGATGACTGAGGTGACAAAGATGAAAAAATAAAGCTAAGTATCACTACAGAATACATCTTCCTTCCAGTTAGAGAAGTAGAAGCTATGTTTGGGTGTTTTCTGCACAGCAGAAGGCACAGATGGTATTGAATTTTAACAGCTGTCTTCCATTAAGAGTTACTGGTAGTGTGGGTGAATGTAGTTAATGTCTAGACAGTGAGAAATTTTTCTTTTTACCCATGTCTTTGTCCTTACTGTTGCTAACAACTGAAGTATTATAGAGTTATAGAAAAACATTGATTGAACAGTGCCTCTGGGAGCCATTTAGTCAAACTCCTACTCAAGCAGGACCAGTTAACATCAGGTTGCTTGGATCCATGTCTATTTGAGTTTAAAGTGTCTCCAAGCACTGTAGTTACCAAGATCCAAATCAGACTCCAGACAACTCCCTCAGTATCTTTGCTCACATTGCAGCTAGGCCCATGGAGCTGTGTGTGTCCACTTGGTTTAAGTGCTGCCCAGCTCCTTCCTCTACTGTGGGTAATGCTTCACTCCCACAGATTCTGTAAATGTAATCTTGGACTGGGGAGAGCCACATTTGCCAACAAAACCCAAGACACAAAAAGACATTGAGTATCTTGGCCTTTCCCATGTTCTTTGTCACTAAGCTGTTCACCACCTCACTGAGCAGCAGACTTGCGCTTCCTTATTTGTCCTTTGCTGCCAATGTACTCATGGGAGCTTTTTTCCTTGTCCATAACATCCTTTGATTATTTCTACTCCTGCTGAGCTTTTGCTTTTGTAGTTTCACTGCTCTACACTTGAGCAATGCCTCTGCTCCCCAAAGTGACTTGTCCCTGCTTTCACCTTCTGGGTGATGCAGCTTAAGAGTATTTTCAGGTGACATTTGCTATACAACATTTTCCTTAGTCAGACTACTCATTTAAGTACTCTGTGTTTGACTTTAGAAGGTAGTCACACATTTTGTTGCACTTATATAGGAACAATGAATGAATATTCTAGCTAATTCAGTTTTTCAACCCTTTGTATATATTGGAAAGATGAAGATGCGCTAGTGCTACTTTGTGGCTATGAACATATTGTGTATTAGTCTTGTGAAAATCCTTACAGCCTCAGCAAAATTATTGCCAGTATTGTGAAACCCAAGAAGAAAGTAGTGAGAGTGCTGGTAGCACAAGAGGCCCTGAGAATGAGACTACACTGGCTGGTCTAGCAGCTCGCAGATGCCTAGAAGTGAGAGTCCTTTTCCCCAGGACATCTTTTATCCATGGCAAGCTCCTTCTGGTTATCTAAAGAAAATGTCAGAAAAAAGAAATGAGGGGTGAATGAGTTGAACTGAGTGATGAATACGAGGGCTGGCACAGGATAGGAAGGAGAACAATGTAGCCTGAAGAAGGGGAACAGAAAAAGAAAGAAACTATCCTCAAATTCTGTTTTTGTGCATCAGCTACCCAATTTACTTCAGCAGCATTCCTTGCATAAATGCACTTAAATATTTTGTTGGTTTATACCTAATAACAACATCAAGCACTTCTATAGGTTTGCTTGTCTTAGAGACAAAAAAGTTAACATAGTTAAAACCACTAAAATTTCTATTACAGTACATTAAAAAAGAATATTTTATAAAAGTCTTCCTACTACCCTTGTCTAATAATGCTGTTCGTTTTTATTTATCATATTTATTTATCATATTTATTTATTGCGTGTTTCCTAGGCCTACTATGCCTTCCAACGGGAAGTGGAGATTTCATCTTTGGCCAGAATGGAATGATGCAGATATCAATGCAGAAAAATGGGATACTGGAAAAGTTGGAAAAGAAAAACCTGGAAAAGGTCTAATTTCAGTAAGTTGTGTGACACATGTTATTTTGACTTCTTTTTGTGTACTTGTATTTAATAAAGTATTTGTCACAACTTCAAAATAGTGTGTTACTGATAAATATATTAATTTTCAATCATATATTTTCAATATGTTTTAGTAGTTCCCTACTAAACTACAGTAAGAAACCAGAAGTATTGTTTATTTGCTGCTTTTGAAAAGAACTGTTAACATATCTCTGTGCATTAATGTGTGTACATTAAGGGTGTTAAAAAATACAACCCCCAAATCTATTTCATGGCATAAATAAAACTGGGGATGAACTGTTGTGGTGTCAGGGCACTGACACGCTCCTCAGAGCACTGCAGTTTCTGTGGGCTCAAAAGGTTTGATGCGTTCATCTTTATTTTGACAAAAACGGATTATGAAGTACTTTCTTTTGTACACTGCAGTTTCTGGACATGTAAAACACTGTCTGAAGTTCTAGTATGTAGAGAATGATTTGAGGGAATATTTCCATTTTGCAGAAAGTAAGCACCTGCCAGATGCAGAAAAATTCGTGTTTTCCAGCTTTGGAATTAATTAAAAGTCTCATGGATTTTTACTCCTTCAAACAGGTTATCATTGCAGAATGTATGAGTCTTTTATATAGAGTAGTATTAAACTTATTTCTTACAGAATTTCATAAGCTCAGCATTTTAAATTGACATTTAAAATGCATTAAATACCATGCTTTATTATCTATTTTCTATGCAAATTCTGCATTGTTCAGATATTTCTTCTGAATGTGTCCTTGTGTACTATGCTTATGTTACCATATATATTTCTAGATTATTCTTTTCTTATCCCAAGGTTGAATATATTATACTGCTATGGGGCCAAAGTATTGTTTTGAGAGATGGTATACATTCTGTATGAATACTGCCATTAACTTGTCAAATAAATAATTTTCCTTTGTGTCCTTCTCCTGTTCCATTATCATATTTGGTGTCTTTGAGCTGTACTCAACATTTATCTGGCACTAGTTTGTCAGGTCTACCAGACATTATTATACATAAACTTCAAAATAACTATATCTGAAAACCTTTTTTGTATTTTAGCACAAGCATTGTTCTGAGTTTTTTACTGGACTCTTCAGTTCTACAGTTCTACAAACTGTATGAAACATTGTTCCTTTTACATGTTTGAAAGAATTCTATATCAGTCACAGCAGATGAATTTTCAGATCTAAAGTATTTTGTCATGTGACCTCTTTCGATCCAAGCAGGTAGCCAGAATTCAACATCGTATAGGTTATTTCAGTTGGAAACAAAATTAGTAATGTCATCCAGGACCTTTGAGTACACTTGGAACACGAATATAAACAGTCCTATTTTCTTGTGTGGATAAAGAAATCAGCCTGAAGTGATGTCTTTCATTTTAACACTGAAGGTCTTTTACCAAGCACCTGTACACACTGCCCTCTCTTAGAGCAGTGCCCTGTGTTGCTGAGATTGTGCATTTGACCTTGTCTTTGTCTCTTGTGCCCATTTCTTCCATGTCCTTCCTGTAGAACTCGTGTTTGAGACGCCTGTCTTTAGAGCATCAATTCTTGAGACTTGGTACTTGTCTCTTATAGCCACCTTAAATAAAACACAAGTTAAAACTTGATTTTTTCAGCCAAGTTTAGCTAAACCTACAATATTCTTCTTTAAAGCATTTTTTGCACTATTAAGCTAAAGAAAGGTTGTATCTTTCCTGATGTGTGGGTTTTTTTGTTTTTTTTTTTCTCCTTTGCATAGTGTTGTGTCATTCCCATCTGCCGCCTTTCTCTGGTTTATCTAGTGTTTAAGAGCTAAACTTTCCTGTTGTGCCATGAAGTAGGGGTTGGATGCCTCTGAAAGCAGAATATAAACTCTGTTAATACAGTTTTGTATGGTCCAGGCTCTAAGGCATTCTTTAAGCTTTCAGAAAAAAAAAAAGGTATTCCAAAATCATTCCTTCCCTTCCCCCCCCCCCAATTTATATTTTTTCCTTCAGGTACTGAAATAGCTTGTTGCAGATTATTATGTTGAAGAAACTCACACCATGAAACAAACAAATAAAACATGCAGGGAAAAGATTATTTGGGAGTCTTTGGTTTGTGTTTGGTTTTTATGCTTTTGTGATGTACTTTGTTTTGCCTTCCTTTAATCATTAGGGACTCAAAGTATCATAGATTTTTGTTCCCGGCAACTTTTTCTCTGCTCTGTAGAAGATAGAGTGCATCGTAGACTGATACACACGAATGTATAATATGCCTAAAAGCTGCTTAAAATCCAGGCACAAATAAAAGGCATTAACCATGTAACTGATTCGCTTCTCAGTCAGCATAACCTGTATCAAAGGCATGTCCTCATCCTACATTGTGCCATAAGTAAACAGATATCATATATCCTGATGCCTTCTGTGCACATGGAGGATAAGCATCACTTCAAAAATGCATGTTTGAAAACTATATGAGCTTCTCTTTCTAATGGGCTAATTCATGCTGTATTATTATAGTTCTCTTTGGTTTCTATAGCACTGCTAAATGCATGGAACATGGTTTTTTGTGTCTTAATAATCACTTTAGATATTTACTTTCAGTCTTCAACATAAAAAGCTATAGAAATAAGTGAGTTAGAAAAAGTACGTAGGAATAACTTTGTAGGAGAATATCTGACTTAAAAATTTAAGCTTTTTTTGGAGATCTTCCTGAAAAGGGAAAAGAAAAATAATAATTTCATATAGATCTCTTAGAAAGTGCAGACCAAAAACTTCTCTGGACACTCTAGGTGGCCTTCTTGCTGCATCTTCATCTTGGGCTTTGGGCTCTTTTTGTTCAGGTGTAGATACTATTAGTTCTCTCTTATGCTATTTTACTCCTTAAGTGAATTATCCTGTGAACAATATATTATTTTAAATCTCATGGAAGATATAATATTGTAATTATTAAAAGTAGTCCATTTTTGTTCATGCATATTTTATGTAGCCTGGATTTGATGATCCTGAAGGGAAAGTAAGGTTGCCAGCATCCTTGAAAGTGCATTCATGGAAACGTCCAGAAGAGTTTTTAACAAATGAGGTAAGAAACAAGCAAGGTCATGATGAAAAAATGCTAATTGCCTAACTTGTGAAAAGTAGAGTGAATTTAACAGAGGAAGTTTGTTGAACCAGTAAAAGCCACTTGACCACTCAGTCACTCCTGTCCTGGACCAGTGTACGTAAGGGGTCAGTGACCCGTGTGACAGCTCACCTGTGCTGCACACAGGGCTGGGCCCTGGGGCTGGAAACCCTGGGCCCAGGGTTAGCTCACACAGCTGATGGCAATGGAGGAGCCTGCAGGCAGCTCCTGCTCCTTACTGGCAATTAAATCACCTGCATCTCCTTGACTTGATGTAACCACAGCAGCAAGTTCTTCAATGCCCTTTCATTTTACAGCAGAAATCATGAGCAGAGTTGTTTTCTTGTAAGAATATCCTTTCATAGCTCAAATTGCATCATAGGTCAGTAAAAGCAAAATGGGTGGGGTCTGCACAGAATGCTGCAGAGATGAGCCAAAGACCTGCTTGATGCCACACATTGGGGGTTTCTCAGTGTCTAAAAGGAGATAAGATTACCTATACTAACCCCATTCTTTAGAGTTGGTTGTAATAATAGCATTCTCAATGATACTGTACAGAATCAGAGGGCTTTTATTAATGGGATAAGACCACCATGGACCAGCACTTCCTGATGCAAAACATCATGGTAATGTATCCTCCCACATCTGCTTCACTTTTTGACTCCCATGTTCGTTTGGAAGACCACTGGATGGAGAGATGACTTTCTACTTTTCTTTCTATTGTTCTTTTTTTTCTCATTTAAGAATTACTGTCATGGCAGAAACATTTCTGTGTGTTCCAGCTGAGGCTTCTTTTGAGTAGGTGTCTGAAGTATCCATATTTGTCATGAAACCATGAACTAACTTTACCAGAACTACAGTACTTTTTTTTTCACTTCAACTATTGTATTCTTCTGGGCTACACAGAGTACATGTCTTTGACAGTACTTGTCTGCAAGGTAACCATAACGTTTTTAAATTATGCATAGCTGTTATTCAGTTTAATTTTAAAATTAATTGCAGAGAAAATAAACAGTCATGGAGACATGTATTTGTATTAAAAATAGCTTTTAAAATCTATCTCTAGAGTGCTATGAAGAAAGCATTTGTTTTCTTTAGGACCTGCTTAAAACTTTGATGCTTCCTTTGGTCCAATATATTTTGAATCAACAAACAATGATTACCAGAGATTTTATATAAAAATTAATGTAAATGTCAAGTGATGAAAGGCTATTAAGAATTATTTGTTAACTGATATATTTTTAACTATAAAATAAAGCATAAACAAGCCTATTTAGTGTAGTAAACAAAGAATCAAGCAACAGCAAGCATATGATGAGAGGCACGGATACATTAAGTTCAGTAAACTGCAATCCCAGTCTGTTTTTACTAAACTGCTTACAAAAAAGAAATGGGCTGTGCAAGAAGGAAATAGTCATGAACACTTTGTAATGCAGCCAAAGGTTTGATAAGGTCGCTGTTCAGACAATACCACTGTCTAACTGACCATGAGCAAATAAATCCCTGTGAACCCTCGTGAGTGGCTAAGGGAATCTCAAAGTATGAGACACTGTTATGATCATGATTTAAATGCAGGACTGCAAATATCTTAAGAAATTGAGGTAATCTCAATTTACTTATGTGATTATTCAATTTGATACTTTTAAAATCTCCTGGCAAAAATAATAATAATTTTTAAAGAATTCTGAACCTAATTTTTAAGGAAGTTTTATTAGGAAATACCAAACCATCTACACGATGATCACTTCTAGTTTTCAAATGTGTAATGAATGTTTGCCAGATGTCCAACATTTGCATGTTCACTTTAGTTAAATGTTAATTTGATTTTTCCAGATAATTTAGCTATGGACCTAACTAATTTACTTTCAATTAGGTTCCTGTGGTAGTCCAAAATGAAACCTCATTTGACCTTGTTTCAGCAAACGAGCACATATTTTGCTGTGAGGTAGGTGGAAATACATTAATGTCCTTATAAAAAATATGTATTTTATTTTTCGTATCTTTCTTAACTTTTTGAATGTCATTCCAAATTCCTACTAAGAAGAAATCAGTTGTGAGAAATTTTTTTTAAGTGGAAAAAGAATGAAGGGGATAAAGTGGTAAGAAATTATCTAAATTATTATAATTAGTATTTACCCCTTTTAGAATTTGAAAAATCAGTAAGAGGTTTTCCAAACTTTCAAATATATATATATATATATATATATATATATGCAGTCTATGAACTAAAGTAATAATTACTGGATAATATTGCCTAAAGAAAAGAGTAAATAAAGTCTATGTTAGAAAGGATTTATATTTTTTTATTCAAACTTTCTGGAAGTCATAGTGGGCCTGCATGTGTGTACAAATGTCTGTGACCTAGACAGTGTTTTCCATCTCTCCAGAGTTGGACAAATGTTTACTGAATTTCTGCAGGTCATGAGAAAACATAAACCAGGTGGAACCAAGATATCTGAGTGCCTTACTGAATGTAAAATTACTTAATAGTTTCTATTTCATTCAGTACATCAACACAAATTCAAAATTCAGCACCAGTGATATAAGGGACGAAATACCAGAAGACAGGTCATATAAATTTCGAAGTCTGCAAAACCACCAGTTTGTTTTAGGACGTGTTTCTTGGAGTGCCCATAGAAGCACTAATTAATTTTAGGGCAAGTTTCTTGTAGTAAAAGCTTTTATTCATTCCAGTTTATATATATTATTGTAACAGTTTGGTAATACTTGTGAAAGTATGGCATACATCAGAAATATGCATATTTTAAAAATGCATGCATAAAGCATGATTAGTTAAAGCTGTTATTTTAAGTCTTAAGAATTACTAAACATGTTTAATAATTTAGGATTTCTTTTACTGAGTATGAACAATTGAAGGCAATACTGATTTTTAGCAGCTGACTTTTAATAGTCCTGTAACAACTCACAAGTCCTGTAACATAATTTAAGATTGTTTTTCTTCATTTGTCTTTGTTAAATGATGAATATCTTTATTTATACTGTGCCTTTACTTAGTTTCATGAAGTCTTGTGTTATGGTAATGAATTTAAGAGAAGTTGTAGCAGTGAAATTAATTTTTCCATTAAACCATTGCTATATTTTTATATCACTTTTTTATTTACAACAGGATCTGTTTTATTCTTTGATCATTATAACATGACTTTTTTATTCAAAAATATATTACTGGAAAATAATTTTTTTTTCTATTTTTTTCTTGTTTTAGCTGATGAGATGGATTGTAAGTGAAATCCATGCTGTCTGGAGGATATATAATGAAAATTCCTTAAATAGTGAAACACCCACACTTGTTTGGAAACCTTGGGAACACATTTATTCCTTATGTAAAGCTACCAACGAACACGTACCACTGTACAATAAATTTGGAAAATATGTATTGAAACTTTATTGGATGGTGAGTTGTTTCCTCCAACAATATAAAAATAGGATGCAGCTATCATGGCAAATTTTAATGGTTAATGGACATAATTTTATTTTTTCAATAAAATATATATTTTCATATTATTGGAAATATAATTTTAATAAATATATTATTCAATTATATATATTGAAAAATAAAATTTAAATTTGAATAACTTGAAAATATTTTTTTTCATATTATTGAAAATAACAGATTTTTAGGAGTAGAAAAACTGATAAATTGTTGATGCTTATTAATTAAAATGCCTCTTACAAGTAATGTGGTTTTTGTACAACTTGTGGTTTGATAGAAGTGTTATTACTTGGAAAGGCAATATTTTTGTAGTTTTGTAGGTTTGATGCAAATGCATAGTAGAGTCAGACATGTGGCACACACCTCTGGTGTATTAGCCTAAAAATTTCTTTTGAAGTTTTAAGTGATTCAATTGGCTGACTTTACAGAGCTGTTTGTATCCAAGTCTATTTAAAGATAGTTAGATACTTCCAGTGTATCCAGTGTAGACTATTTTCTGAAGATGTACTGGTAAAACTAAAGCATTCCAAGAATTTCTAAAGATAACAGGCAATAACTTCTTAACATATTTGTCAGTCAATAGGGAATGCTTAATTGTGTACTGAGCCTCGTTTGAATAAAGAAATAATGACATATAGAAGAACTGACATCTAAAAGTTATTGGTTGTTGGAGTTATTTCAGTTATATTTGTTCTTTCGGAAAGAGAAAATGTCACAGTGTGCTAAGACCTATAACTAACCCTGTTAAATTCCAGTTGCCCAAAGTTGAAAATAGTTTGAGACAGTCAGTTGGAAACAAAAATTTGAAAGTGACCTTCCCGGTAAGGGGGAACACTTATCTGTTTTACATGCCTTTTACATGCCTTTTACATGCCTTTTACATGCCTTTTACATGCCTTTTACATGCCTTTTACATGCCTTTTACATGCCTTTTACANTTTTACATGCCTTTTACATGCCTTTTACATGCCTTTTACATGCCTTTTACATGCCTTTTACATGCCTTTTACATGCCTTTTACATGCCTTTTACATGCACTTTCCTCATCCCTTACTACTGCCTCCACATGTGGAATAATTTATATTCTTATACAACTGAATTGCAGGTGTTTGAGAAGGCATGAATTTTGTTGTCCAAGTTCCTCAGCAGAGGACATTATTATGTGTGTGAATTTAATACTACAGATATTATGTAGTCATGTGGTAAAAGACTGTATTTTAAAGCATATCCAAGAGTTACTAACGTGCTTCATTTTCTTTGTCACTTTTGTCACACTTATTTGTATTTTTTTTTGTTGTTGTTTGGGACTGTGTGTTTATTCCGTTTTTTTCCTCTGGGTATACAGCTGTATTTTACAGAAGGAAAAACAGGAAAAAAAGAGGCTCACATGTTGGAAGTTTAAAGAAAATATACAAAAAAGGAAAAAATAATATTGGAAGAGATAGAGGAGAAAGAGATTTCATAGGAAAAAATAGGAAATTAAATGAAAAAGAGGGCAAAGGTGGAAGAATAATGAACTGATTTCACTAATATTCTGCATTGAGTCCTGAAGGCATTATTGTGCATGTCATCAAACCTCTGGATAATAATTTTTTTCACATAATTGGCACAATATATAAATTCTACTCCACATTCTACTTTCACTTTGCATTTCTGAGGTTTGTTGAATTTGTTTCTGTAGTTATTTTTTTCTCACTTTTTTCCATCTGTAGACCTGCCCCACTTTTAAAAAAAATTTCTTTGGTTTCTTTTCCTTTACTTATCAACTTGAACTGTTTTCCATAGTAAACTTCACCAATTATTGGAAGAGGAGATGAATATGTGATCACATCACTGGCTAGGTCCTTTTCAAACTAGGGAAGTTTAAATTCTGTTTTTGGGGTTGTCACAAAATAATTCGTATCCTAAAAGATATTAGATTCTTTTATGTTTTTTGAATATCTTTGCCCTCTGGCCTAAATTTTTTTTCTCCTTAGACCTATAAAATTCATGGAATTAATCAGCTATTATATCAGCTTGAACCCATAGTTTAGTTAGAAGCAGAGAACAATAATTTTGCATGTTATCTCTAATAACACAAAGTGAACACTAGTGATTTGGTCATTCTTCATCATTTTGTGGGTGAATTAACAGAAGTACTTGCTATTGGCCCACTTATTTTCTATTATATCTTCATCACTAGGAGACAGAGACTTTTATTTGGAGAATGGTTGACAAGGTTATTTTGTGGAATCCTAGCTCAGTTTACTGAGGTGTCTGGTATTGGAGATATCAGTACAGTACTTTGTGTTACCTTTTTGTTTCTTATTCTGGAAACACAGAATTTATATATATATATATATATATATATATATATTTTTTTTTTTTTTTTTTTTTTAACATTTTATATTTTGTGTTGTTTAGTATAGTGTTTTATAAGATACTATTGCAATGCTTAATAGGAGACTTAACTGCAGTCAACATCCCCAGGTAGTTTTTGGGAAGCAAGGGAGATTTCTTACATCACAAGCATTTTCCAGACTGAGACCTAAAGAGGCATTTAAAAAGCTGCTATCTTAGTTAAGCCTCTTTGAAATCATTACCGTTTCTCAGGCATCTGTCATGGCAGCTGAAGAAACAGCAATGAATGCGTGCCCATGATGTGCTACACATATGAGATGAAATATATTTGGAAATATCGGCAATTAGATTAATCTCTGAAACAAATAAATCAGAGCAGTAATAAAATGCTGTGAATGCTGTGTCCATGCTTCTCATATATTAAGTGAGAACTTCTTTTAAATCCAACAGGGGTGTTGGAGAAAGATCATTGTGGATGACACTATGCCTTTCAATGAAGAGGAGAATTTGTTATTACCAGCTACAACTTGCCAAAATGAACTTTGGCCAATGTTGCTGTCCAAAGCGATCATTAAGTTAGCAAATACAAGGTATGTTTTGTCATTTCACTTTTGTTTTGTTTTGTGAAGTCATGTGGTAATAGCAAAAAGTTGATTTAGTATGCATAGGAAATATATTTTACTAATTTTTCATAATGACAATTATACACTTCCAAAAACGGATGCTGTAAATCAGTAAAACAAAATCCTCTATAGCTACAGGAAATGCAGGGTTTCCTTTTTAGATGTGTTTGTAAATTTATTCACAGAAAACTTACAAAGAAAAAGGAGTACTCTCATTATTTGCTTCTTTTGTTTGACATTATTCCTGAAAATTTCACATGTGGCTTTCTGCCAAACAGAAGTACCTGTGAACTTTTAATGAAATTGTTATTGTCAGCATTGACCAGTATTGAAATACAATACAATATTCAATATACAAATAATACAATACAATACTCAATTGAAATACAGTACAATACTCAACCAATATTGAAAGTAGAGTTTTGTGAGCTGCTTTTGATGCCTTTGCTACAGTTGCGCATTTTTTATGATGTAGGGAAGTGATCTACTTCCCTAGAACTGACTGGAAAAGTAGAAGGTGGCTTATGATACAGTGATTGACAATTATGGCTACAGATTCCTATGGAATGAACACCAAGAGTTTAAATGAATAAGCTCGAGAAAATAATTCAAAACACACATCTGGGTAGTGAAGATTCTCTGTTCTCAGCATATGAAGTTATGTTTGTCAGAAGAATATCTAAAGTATGTTTACACAGGCTAAGGAGTTGCCTAGAGCTGCCTGTTAGCAAACTCTGTTTGCAGGAATGTGATTGAAATACTGCATTTCTCCAGAGCAAAAAGGTTAGCCATACAAGTGCTGGCATCTTTGGCCTTGGTCTCAGGAAACCTCTCCAGAGAGTAGCAGTGTCAGTTTGAAAGAGTGAACTTTGCTAGAATGGAAGTAGAACCAACTTGTTGAGAATAACCTGGGAGTTAGAGAAATTGATAAGGAAATGGAAGTTGTAGAATCATAACCCTGTTTTAGTACAAGGGATTTCAAACCTACATGTCCAACTCTGCAACTGTGTGCAAGTATACATGGTATGCTTGCTAACGAAGTTAAAAAAAATGTCATTGTGCCAGAGGGAACACTAAATAATGGACTTGATGCAAAGGCATTTGACTTTGTAGGGGAGTAGTCAGCAGTGGTTTGGAAAACTCCTAAAATTGCAAGTAATGACTTGTTTTTCATCAAACTATTCTGTGTATGGTCTTATTCCTACAGACAGCAGTGTAGACTACAGAGTTTACTGTAGTTGGTTACATTATAATTGTAAAATGTCTGCTTTTGTCTTATAGTATACATGAAACTGGAAGAAGAGAGATGGAGGAATTTACAGTTCTACAAACACTGACTGGATGGATACCAGAAGTTATTCCTCTCCAGTAAGTTCTTCTGTTAAACAATTTATGTGTTAGTTGTTGAATATTTAATTCTATAAGGCATTATGAAAAAATAAAGCCGAGCCCTAAAAGTCCTTCACCATCAGTTTTGGAAAGTAAATGGTTTATAATCCAGGCATTTGGGAAATGTACCTTTGAGAAATGCAATTTTATTGTGTTTTCCTTTGTAAGTCATACAGTTTCTTGTAAAGCTATTTATCATGCTGATGCCTATTCTTTATAAAATTAATTTAACTGATATTAAACAGTGTGATGAAAACAAGGCTAAAGAAATCTATGTTTCCTTTAGTATACCTTTAGTTTAAAAATGTCTGCTGATAATAATAATTTAATATCTGAATATACCATAGAAATTATATGTCATGAATTTGGAAGTAATCAATGTCAGCTGGGATGGTGTTTTCACCCTTTAAATTGTAACAGTTGGCAGACTTTTAGTTTCAACCAAAAATAGTGTTTCCTACCTACAATAACATTTTTCTCATTTCTTATGTGGTTTATGTTCATTTTCTATTTTTAAAGAAACACATTCTGACTTTTCAGCTTGACATTCTTTTTACTAAAAGAATTATCCGAAAACTGATACGGAATATTTAGACTTTTTCTTTTGAATATCACCATTCTGCCTTTTGATATATATATTCAAATTAATATATAGAAACAAATAGTTATGGTTTATGTATAATATACTTAGATATAATTGTTTCTTTATAACCATATTTCACTATCAAATAATTTCAGTCAAAGAATATTTTATTCCATTTTTTAGTAATTTTAATGTCTCAAGCTATGCTTGCAATTTAGGTTTTTGGTATATTTGTGTCCTACAGTAGTGTGTGTGTAGTTCATGGACTTAAAAATCTAAGTAGCCCTAAATTTTATTTCTTTCTATAGTTAGTTTCACAACTTCAACAGCAAAAACAGTATTCACTTTTTACAAATACATTATATCACAGAATATGAAAATGTCTTTGGAATAGTAGTATAAGATGATTTTAGCTCATTTTACAATCACTTATTTTACTGTTTAAAAAAGTTGAATGCAGTTAGATTGCATGAAACCCATTCATGACCCTGTTTGAGATTATTTCTAGAATCACTGAATTTCTGTGGAAAACCAACATGACTGCAACTGTTATATTATATCAAAAACTTTCCAGTATGGAAATACCTTTGAGAAGCTTTTTAATATACAGACCTAGAATCACAGTATTATATGGTGTAGTCATAAAGTGATCTGCAAGTTTCTCTGCCACAACTTCTATCTGCTAAAAATCTTGAGAAAGGATGCTTTATTTGCATGCGTCTCTGCCCACGATCTTTTTTTATGGGTCTTTCCATAAACTGTCTCAACAAATATTTCTGATACAGAGTGCGTTCTATCTACTAAAATAATCCAGTAGCATTTTTTAGAGTTGGACTGTCAGTTGTGATATAGTGCTATCTTAATGAAGATCACACATTGACCTCTTATTGGAAACATCCTTACCGTTGACATACACATTTGTGTTTTCTCTTAAAGGCCTGAATACTTGGACAAAGTTTGGGGCTTTTTGAAAGAGATTGTACCAGAATTCAAGTTGCCAGAGAAGAAGGCTCCAGAACCTGAGATTACCGAGGATGGCACAAAACCTGAAGAGACCAGAGAGTCAGAGTTAAAAAGTCGAGTTTCATGTATGAGTAAGCCATCAGATGTAACTGAGAAACCAGAGACAGCCAATAGAATTAGCAAAGGTCTGTAATTTTACATAGTCTGATCTTTGTAGGCCAACCATAAATGAGGTTAACATAATCTGTTTCAAATAAGTATATTTTGCATATATTGCCACATACAACATTGTGGGTTTGTTGTTTCACTGAATATGTTGCAATGATGTAAATCCAAAATACTTTTGTTTTAGCTATAGATTTCATTAGAAGCAGTACTAGTCTGTTGTTTTATAAAAATAGATTCACTTTCTGGCAGAGATTTTTTTCAGCTTCATGTCACAGCCATTTCTCCAAAGTCTGGTTCGTTGCAGAGTGATACCATTCAGAGAGGTTACAGTTTCTCCAAAGGCAACCCTGCTCTGCCCATCAATTAATTATACATTTCATAATGACATGTTGTAAAGTGTGATTACATACAGAGTTATGACAAATATGTTCTAATGTCTATCTGTCTATCTGCATTTTTATTTATTGCAGTTTTTATTTTATGCTACTAGGTATCGACAATAATTTTCTTCAAGAGCTGCTAATTCTGTTTACATTTAAATGAAAAAACTTAGATCTAGAAACTTGTATGTTCCAGTATATTATTCTTCATTGTTTTTATATGAGACTGTTTGTTTTAGTTTCTGTTTTTAACTTGAAGGCATGGATGCAATTTCATAACACTTCTCATGCCTTTGGAGAGTACAGATCATATGCTAAAATTTCTATTTCTTCCTAGATTTTTGGAAAAATCTTTGACTTCCTCACCTTGAATCCCAAATACTATGTCCCAATGTCAAAAGTTATATAAGTCTTGGAAATTACCTGTCTGAGGTGGTATTCTGTCTTCTAAGGAAATCTTGCTATCATTTTGACCCAGCCATCAGTGTGGGAAATATTTCAGATTTAGAATGGACATGTCACTGGGAACAGCACTGTTGTTCATTCAACAGGGTGTTGTAATTTTTTCCCCAGAAAACTAAATAAATTTAATCCTGCCTAAGACTTAAAAATTCTATTAGCAACTGAAATAACTAAGAATCTGGGAACCACTGGGTCATGATACAGCTCTGTAATCTCCAACTCTGAGGCTAAAAGCTTTGTTCAGATGTTCTGTTGATGTTTGGGATTAATGTTTGGATGACACAAATCCATCCATGTCACCATGAGAGATAAGGACCTGGGGGTCCTGGTGGACAACAAGCTGTCCCTTAGTCAGCAGTGTGTCTTGGAGTCAAGAAGGCCAATGATGTCCTGGGATACATTAGGAAAAGCATTGCCATCAGGTCAAGGGAGCTGATCCTGCCTGTTTACTCAGTTCTCATTTGAAATGCTGTGTCCAGTCCTGGGCTCTTCAGCACATTAGAGATGTGGAGCTCCTGGGCAGAAAGGGCAATGAAGATGATTGGGAGACTGGAGCATCTCTTATGAGGAAAGGCTGAGGAAGCTGGGCCTGTTCAGCTTTGAGAAGAGACAGCTGAGAGGAGATATCATCAATGTGTATAAGTACCTAAAAGGTGGGTTCCAAGAAGGTGAAAATAGGCTCTGTTCTTTGGTGCTGAGCAGTAGGAAAAGAGGTAATGGGCAGAAACTGGTGCACAGGAAGCTCTACCTGAACATGAGGAAGAACTTCTTTACCGTGTGAGTGATCAAGCAGTGGAACACATTGCTAAAGAGGTTGTAGATGCTCCCTCGCTGGGAATAGCCTTAAACTGGAGATATTCAAGAACTCTCTGGATGCAATCCTGTGCCATGTATTCTAGTATGACCCTGGTGGAGCAGGGAGGTCAGACGAGATGACCCACCATGGTCCCTTTCAATCCGAACCATTCAGTGATTCTGTGAAGCTGTGTTGTGCAGTCGACACAAAGGAAGGAAGGAATGCCATCCAAAAGGACTTGGACAAATTTGAGGACTGGACCCATGAGAATCTAATCAAGTTCAGAAAGTCCAAGTGCAAGGTGCTGTACTTGGATTGAGAAAATCTGAGGCATGAGTACAGACTGGAAGAAGAACTGAGAAGAGCCCTGTGGAGAAGGACATGGGGGATCTGGTGGATGAGAGGCAGTACATGAGCCAGCAGTGTGTGCTCACAGCCCAGAAAGGCAAATTGTATCCTAGGCTGCATCCAAAGCAGTGTGGCCAGCAGAATGAGGAAGGTGAGTCTCCCGCTCTACTCTGCTCTTGTGAGACCCCAACCTGGAGTGCAGCATTCAGCTCTGGGGGTCCTAGCACAAGAAAGACATGGACCTGTTAGAACAAGTCCAGAGGAGGGCCACTAAGATGATCACAGAGCTGGAGAACCTCTCCTGTGAAGGCAGTCAGAGAGCTGGGATTGTTCAGCCTAGAGAAGAGAAGGCTTCAGGATGACCTTAGAGCACTTTCCTGTACCTAAAAAGAGGGCCTGACAGAGAGCTGGAGGCTTTTACAAGGGCATGTAGTGAGAACAAAGGTGAATGACTTTAAACTCACAGAGGGCAGGTGTAGGTTGAATATTAGAGGGAAATTCTTTCTGAGGATAGTGAGCTCCTTACACAGGATCCCCAATGAAGTTCTGTTTGCCCAATCCCTGGAAGTGATCAAGGCTAGGATGGGACTTGAGCAGCCTGCTATAATGGAAGGTGTCCCTGTCTACAGTGGGGGGTTGGAGCTAGATGATCTTTAAAGTCCTTTCCAGCCCAAGCCATTCCATGATTCTATGATTGGGGTTTTTTTTTCCCATTTAAGAAGTCTTTTTCTGTAGTCCAAGTTCTAAGGCTTCAAGGAGTGTTTGGACTGTGGGAGACTTTCTACTTCCATGTCCATTGGGAATTTATGCATTGTCTGTGTGAATTTTGTTTTGTAATTAGTGATGCATGAGAGCAAGAACATGAAGAAAATATTTGGCACAGTGCCAGAAACACAATAATTTCTTACATTGTAGTAAGGATATAAAAGTTGTACAATAACTAAAAGGTGGGACTGAAGCCTTCCTGGCTCCTTCTCAGTAAATCTTCATTTACATCTTATAGACTACTTTTTATTTTTATTTATTTTAATTAAGTTACATTAATTTTTTTATTGTACCTCAGCTCTTGACTTCAGAGAGTTTGTGGTTGATTGTTTTCCAAAATTTATCTAAAATTTTATTAAAGCATTTGCACTTTATGACTTTTGATGACTGAAAGTTTTTATCTGAGAAAAAAAATTAATCTTTATTTTGCTTAATAGAAAAAGCAGAGCAGAAAAAAGTAGGAAAGAAAAAAAAAGGAGGAGAGAAAGAAAAAAGCAAGGTAGCACTTCAGTCTCCAGAAAAGTTGGCAAAAGCCCAAGGTCTTCAGGACTTAACAGAAAGTAAGTCCTATTGTTTCAAAGCTAAAAATACAGACAGGAGTTATATGTAAAGCAAAAGGCTTTGCTTTAATTTGATTTTGAACTTAACTGGGGGGAGGTTATATTTACTTTTTAAATTTTGTTTAAATTGTAGTTACTTATAGCTCACATTACACATTGAAATAATTCTAACCTAATCTGCAACATAGATTAAGAATAGTATATTGCAGTACTTTGTTTTAGTGGAAAACTGTCTTATAGTTGTTCTGTGTTTAAAAAAGAACAATCCTTCCTCTTTCATAATTTTTTTTTCCATATCCATTTTATACGCAGAATTGCAATTGGAAAAAGCAATTTTTGTCAAAGGGCGGGGGAACCGGGGGGGCAGGGGGTGGGGGGGGCAGAAATATTTGTTAGAATTCACTCCAAGATGTAAATCTTAATTTTTTAATCTTTGTCCAAGAAATACATAATCATGAATTTAATTCCTGTATTGATATATTCATAAGAGCATAAAAGTTAAGTAAATTCTTGCTTTGTGCATTTATATTTAATGTTAAAAAAAACTCAAGAAAATACATTTTAAACAAACCACAAATACTAATCAGACAGCTGAACAATCAACTAAGATATTTCAAATTTACTAGCATAAACTATAGATCTTCACAAATGCACAAAAAGCTCATATGCTCTTAGCTTTGCATTTGTTTGGATACATGTGGCATTTCCACATGGCTAGCAGCAAAAAACAGTTATTAGCTGGAATAATTTGCAGTTTCAAATCAGTAGGTGAGAATAGGTAGAATAGGTAGGTTATTTCCTAAGGGAAATTACTTCAAAGTAAAAATGAAATTTACTACATAAATGGTATCCCTGCTTCTTGATTTAAATCCTGATTAAAATTAGTGTTTTAAATAATTTTAAACTACAGCAAACCAAGATTGTGGTTTGTCATCAGAAAATATATTTCTTTTAATTCCTACCTTACATACCACTAAATGAGTTAAACAGCAGTAAATTTTAAAATATATTGCAGGAATGTAGTTTGCTTCAGTGTAGTAGGTGTGGAATAGGAAATGGAGTGTTTCATGTGAATATAAGTAATGTGACTAACTAGTACTCAAGCATGTCATGGAGAAAAGGAAGCAAAAGGATCCAAGATATTCTAGAAATTTTGAAAAACTAGTTAAAGAGCATTAAAAAGAAAGAGGCAGTGCTTTCATATGAAAAATTACATGATATTTAGATCTTTATTCTACCACTTAGAGCACAGTTTATGCTTTTTTCTGAAAAGCAAATAGTGTCGTGTGAAGAGATTATTTAGAAATATTATTAATTCAGGGCTCAAGTACACTGATCAGAGAACTCTTTTATCCTAAGTTTGAACTACAAAATACTTCTGGAGGAGAGTAAGAGGTAGGTATCTCTATACTAACAGAGCAAATTTATGATTATTAGACTGCAAGGGGAAAAAAAGGAATTGGTGTGTTTGAAATAACACTGAATTATGATGCATTTTTGTTGTGAGAGTGTAGCCAGTAGAGGGAAATCCTGCAGGCTTTATGAGACACAGTCTGCAGAGTGGCCTAGAACAGTAGAACCATTGTTGTGCTTAAAATAACATCTGACACTAGGTCTTGATTCAAAGTCAGACTCCTGAGGCAGTAGTTGTAAAAAGTTCCTGAACTGTTCTGGTGGAATTTTGTAACAATGACTTTATTTAAGGCAGCAATGGGTGGGTTGTTTTGTTGTTTTTTTTTTTTGTTTTTTTTAATTATAAGTGATTTGAAAAGTGTTTCATTCCCAGCATGATAAAAGTGCTTTTTTTCCCCTGCTGCTGAAACTTTCCCTCTACCTGTTGACTGTTGACATCAGGGAAATTTTTCTTCTTTGAGATAAATATGGACTATTTCTAAAGAGATATTTAACTACTCCAAATATTATTTATATTTTACTTTTAAAATGCAAAACCACCTGTATTCATTGCATTGTATATTCACGACCTTGTTATTCATGATGCATTGAAGTACCAGTTACTTCTAAATACTTGGAGATTTCTCTTGCAGGGTTTTAATTTTGTGTGGGCTATAATGTTGTGGTTAGTTGATGCTGTCTGGCAGCTAAGCTGCCACCCATCCACCTGCTCACTCCTCACAGTGGGATGGGGCAGAGAATGAGGACTGAACTTGTTTTCCTATTCATCCAGTTGTGTGGATCCAGCTGAATAACAAGCCCTTGACATGATCCGTCTGAACTCTTCCTGAGGGCAACCAACTCTTTGGATCCTTTGACTTATCAGTCAGACAGTCTTCGAGAAGTTTTGGCAGACAATAAGTTCCTGCTCACCCATTGTGCATTTTCCACTCAGCAGCTTTTTCTTCTGGTAACAAACCTTTCATACTTAGTGTATCCCCTTGTTTTATGAGCCCTTTTTACAATGAAATGATATGACATGAGATGAAGTACTGTGAGGTGAGGGTCCAAAGTGATGCAGGGTCCCCCAGGCAGGTGCAAAGAAGAGCTGCTTTATTGTAAAAAGCAGGCCTTTTTAAGCAGTCAGGCCTTTATCAGTTACATACTTTTAAATCATAACAAACATAGTTCAACCAACCAGCATACACCACAATGTGAACAAACGATGGTTAAGTAACTTACTTTTCTACATCTAATTCAGCTGAGTCACTTTCCCACAGTCCTTTTCTACTTAGCCAAAGTAGCAGGCCTGAGCCATGATTTTACAAGGCCTTCTCTTTGTAATGTTTTACCTGTATATGCAACAAGGTACTCAGTTGCCTCATTCCTACAAAGAATCACCGCTTTGCTTTTATTTAGATTTCCAAACTACTGAGTTTTCTTCAGTAATTTCTGAACTGCAGGAAAGGGTACATTATTCCATTTGAAAGGGTACTAGCTAGGAATTTGGGAGTTTGTTCTAAAAATCAACCATGTATTTTGAAAATCTCATTGTGCCTTGATACAAATCCTGTCACTAAAGAAAATATTTTCTATGTCACAGGAGTGTTGAGATTATTATCATACTTAGAAGTTTTTGAAATTAAACAAGTAGACTTGTAATCATCAGAGTCAATGAGATAAACGTCACATAACTGTAACATTCTTCTATTTTTGCTTTTACCTATTCAAGAGTTTTCATTTACAAGATGGATTCAAGCCTAATGTTTTGGTTTTTCAAATGCATATCATCATTCTGCAATACTTATGTCAATTCTGAAGAGCACACAAGTTATTTTTCTGAAAACTAAAAAATAGCTTCCAATATGCAAAGCTATTCTATGTCTATCACAGCAGCAGAAGTTGACGTCTGAGCTGCACACCTGATAATCAGGATGTTGAAAGCCAGCTGATGTGTTTTCATAGGATGGTTTGGGTTGGATGGGGCATTAAAGATCATCTAGTTCCAACCCCATCTTCCATCTTCCACTAGGCCAGATTTCTCACAGCCCTCCCCCCATGCAACCTGGCCTAGAGCACATCCAGGGATGGGGCATCCACAGCTTCTCTGAGCAATCTATTCTGGTGCTTCAACATCCTCACAGTAAAGAATTTTCTTTTTACATCTAAGCCAGCCCTCTGAAAGAAGGGTCAGTTAAAATAATTGCCCTTTGTTCTATCACTCCATGGCCTGAAGAATCTCTCTTCATCTTTCTTGTAAGCTTCTCTTTAAATACTGGAAGGCTACTCTAAGATCTCCCTGGAGCCTTCTCTAATCCAGGCTGAACAACACAAACTTTTTCAGCCCTTCTTCATAGCAGAGGTTCTCCAGCCCTCAGATCATCTTTGTGGTCTTCATCTGGCGTCGTTACTCCTTGGAAAGTTAAACTACACCATCATCTCTTGTTTGAGGGACAAATATTTAAAAGAAACATTAGTGAGTGAGTGAGTGAGTGAGTGAGTGAGTGAGTGAGTGAGTGAGTGAGAAAATTCTTTGCAAGTCATATGCAAAACATATGATGAACAAAACCAGCTAAGATCTATTAAAACCAACAATTTTTATTCCTGGCCTTTCTTTTTAAGTGGTTGGATATGTATTTTACATGGATCAATTAAAATCTTATTTTCCCTTCTCAAAGGGACTGAAGCATTTGTTCAGGTTGTTTAATATTCATTGTCTGTAAATGAATTTGCAAATCTGCAAGTGTGAAACATAAGTAGCTACATAGATTCAGAATTTTTTAACAAAGCACTGTGGAATTCTTATATCCACACTGATGGATAGAAATAATAGGCTTTGCTGAATCTGTTTTGTTGTACTGTATATGATAACATTTTTCATCTAATAATGCAATTTTATCAAGGCTATCAGTTTTAGCCAGTTTCACCAAATGCTGAATCCACACTAATCATCATTACAATTGGTGCCAAATAATTTGCATACATCATCCTCATTTTTTGTACAGAATAAAGATCAAACAATATGTAATTTTTAAAGCTATTGGCATAATGTACTAGTATTGTTATAGTATTATTAAAGTGGATACAGTGTGCCTGGTTAATCATTTGCATGCTCTAATAATTTGTTCACTGCTGTTTATTGCCTGCCCTGCAGACATTTTATTTCACAACCCATCTGGACTGAGTATGACAGCTTTACATTCCACCTGGTATTTGATTAAATACTTTTAGTTGAGAAATACTTCTCACATTGCAATGAGATCAGTATGCCTTGTGGCACATAGTGTTCTGTAACACACAGGACATCGTAGCTAATGTTGCTGTGTTTGTAATAGATCAGATATATTGGTAAGGACTGAGATTTAAGTTAATTATAGCCTTGCTTTTGAATAAGTTGAAACCCACAACTAATACAACAACTGTGTTTAACATGGGAATCACAAGCATGCAGTGAGAAAAACTAAGAATCCATTGGAAAGTACTCTTACTTGCCTTTAGCTTATACTTAATTGGGTAATTTAATTCCTGGAATAATATTTCAAGTGCAAAGATATTGTACTTTGAGAATAAAATGTTGCATATCCTCTAAATAAATAGGTTTTAGGCCTGATAAATAATATTTTTCAGACTTTCGTCTGTTTATATGCAGATAGCTTTGTTTTATTTCATTTCACAGAAAATACCTATTCTTAGTGCAACTTCCAGTTGAATATTTACTAAACATAGGAAGCAATTATCCTATATTTGAGGTGAAGCTGAAGGGATCAATGACAGACACAGATAATTTTACTGGAGTGTTAGATGGGGATAGAATCATAGAATCATTTATGGTCAAAAAGATCTCCAAGTTCATTGAATCCAGCTGTTAACCTGTACTGCCAAGCCCAGTGCTAAACCATGTTCCTAAGTGTCACAGGTACACATCTTTTAAATGCCTCCTGGAATGATGGCTCAACCACTTCCTTGGGCAGGCTGTTTCAATGATTCACAACTCTTTCTGTGAATCAATTTTTCATAAAAAAGCATTCTGATGAAAAACAGGTGTCACAACCTGTGTACTGAAATACTGCCTCCAAGTTTTCTGAGATGACTAAGGAAAAGCAGAGAGAAATAGGTACCTTTCTTTTTGACATGTCTTTTTGGTAAATCCAGAGACATATATTTCAATTATAATGTTTTACACTTTCAGCTTGAATGAACTGACTGTCAGACATCCTTGGCTTCTCTTCATCATTCAGGAATTAGCAATGGCTTCTTTCACAGATAAGGGTGGGAGATGATAATATGGTTGCCTAGTACAACAGATTTCTAGGGTTAACGAAGTGAATGTGCCCCTGTTCCTATTCCTTGTCTATAGCAGAATTATAGGCAAAACAAGCTTCTATAAGGTAAGTGCAATAATAGCTTCATAATTTCTGAGGCAGCCATCATTACCTCTATTTTTTCATCTGCTTGACAGAAATGAGAGCAGCAACCCTGTTTTACAGGCACTATGTTTCTCACATTACTTATCTCAGTCTCCATATCCCTTGGCAGCAGTGGCCAGAGCTCTGGCTTTGGATCCTTTTGTTGGCAAGATCAAATTTTACCTTCAGTGGTGAGAAGCGTTTAACTAGTACTGACCAATCGGGATGTTTTTACTTCATCTACACAGATTATGTCTATTGTTTTCTTTATGCTAGTATCTAAAATTTGAGGTAAAACAAGGAAACAATGTTAAAAGCCACCTCTGACGTGTCATATTTTTAAATTGTAATTTCTTTTACTCATTTATGTAACATAAGTAAAACATGCAAATGCTGTTGATTTAAATGAGTTTTTCCTATCCATGGCTTCATTTCAAAGTGCAGTACACTGAGGTCTTCTTTTGAATAAAGTAATAGTCAGACAAAGAAAATAGTAATAAAAATAAGGCAGAGAAAGCACAATAATTTAGTGTGAGGTACAGCTACACTTTTTTACTGTTTACTTTGTTCTAAAGTATTTTGACGTTTTCTGTGTAGAATCGCCCACACCAGCCCAGCCAGAAATGGTCGTGTACGCTGGCTGTACACCGCTGCATTTGTTTGAAGAGGATATTTTTTTATTAACACGAATGGTAAGATTCTGTGCTGTCAGGACGGGAAAGCGTTGCTTATTTTGTTATCAGAGTGTTTCATTATGTTGCAACAATGTTGTAACAAAAAATAATACAATTAGCTCAGTGAAACAGCCACTAGATGATGACTACCAGTTAAATTTATATTTGGTACTTCTGTATTCTGAACATGCATTTTCCTGCCAAAGCCTGCTGATTTTACTCGGTTTTCCTCCACTTTCCTCAGGATGCCAGCAGCTGAAGTCTCCTGGGAGAGACTAGATATGGACTAGAAAATGTATCGTAATGAGATAATTCTGAATGGAAAGTCTAATTATTTTAAGGGCTACATGAAAAACATTAATTTTAATTTTTTGAAGACTACAGTTAGGACTCCCTGATATACATTTTCCAGTATGTTCTTTGTTGTTATATAAGAAATAGCATGTTTATACCAGTTTCTATCATTGGTATTGCAACTGGTGAAAGCAGCTTGAGAAATTGTAACTGTATTACAGCTGGGGTAAAAACACCACTTAATTTTCCACTTAGTCACTCACATTCCTCAGAAAGCTTTTTATAATGCCAGAGCAAGCTTTCTTGAGTTGATTGTTAATTAGGTTTCCTTTTTTTGTACATTTAAATCATATCTCTCATAATTAGATCATTACATTTTAAGCTGCCTTCTCAGGAAACTGGTGAGCTTCATAGAGTAAAGAAATTTCCAGAAATGGTTTGCAGGTGTCATGCTTTAGTGCACTTAATTCTTGCACTATTTTCTTTTTTAAAATTGTGCTGTGTATTTTATGCAATTTTGAAGATTAACTTGTTATTTGTGATATTGTTTTAATTTATTTTAATTTAAAGTCTCAGTCAATATTGTCTCTTTGGTAATAGTAAATAATGCTAGTCATCAAAAACCAAAGTAGAAGTAGGGACATGGGCTTATATCTTTCCTGCCACTTAACACCGTGAGTCTCAAACTTGGCTATTGGGATATATATTGTCTATAGGGATATAGAGATTACTGAAAAAGAGGCATGACAGACTAAATAGGATGAGACAGATGAATCTATATGTCTAAACTAGTATTTTACTAAAGACTTGATAGAAAAATGGAAGTTGACAGAAGTTAAATATAGAAGTGTAGAGGATTTCTTATGTATAAACGCCCCCCATTTTCAATCTGTATTCAAGGGCTGAGACAAACTACACTGATTGAAATAAAGTATAGAAAATGGATTCACTGGGATAAGAGTTGCTCCCTAAACTTGGAGAAAATTTTGTCATTGACTGCAGTTGTGCCAGAATTTCCCTCCTGAATTTTGGTAGTACCCCTTTTAGCTTTGCTTTCTTGTATGGATTTCCTTGAATTGTTGTGGCTTGAATTTGTCTTAGTTTATTCAAATAAAATGAAAAAAAAATCATTAATTGAGTCTTACAAGTGTGTAGTGTACTCAACAGCTAAGTTCTCCTTTATGACACCTAACTGGATAGCTTCAAAATCCTTTCTAATCTTGGAAGTTTCAACTGGCATTTTTAATTTAATTCGTTCCCCACTCTTGAAATAACTGACAACCACAAGAACATTCTTCTCTACAGAGTTCATAAATACAGAACCTAAGGAACATTTTAAAATTAGTCAAAGTAATCAGAGACTTGTGATGAGTATGTTAAAGAAATAAGCTATTGGTGATTTATTTAGGATGCAAAAGAAAGTGTGCTTTTAAAACCTAAATTATGTACAAATCTTGTAACAGAACTTTAGTTGTGTTAAGTATTAGACCATTATTATTTGAGTGGGAAGAGCACCACTCAATGTCCACATCTAAAATTGCTCTTAAGTCTGTTCCTAAGGGCTTTGGTATACAGGTCAGCTGAAGTGTCTTTAATCTGTTTTATAAATGAGCCATCAAATAAACTTAGCTTTAATGATGTGTTGCTTCAAAGGAATACATTACGGAGTTTTTATAAGTTATCTAAAAGACCAATTGATTTTAGAATTCTGCCACTTCATAAATTCAGCATGAAGTAAGGACTTTTTCCCTCAGAAAGTATTTTTAAGTATGATTATTTAAAAGAAAATGTTCTACCTATTGCTTTCTTACATATTCATTCTCTTCACTTGTATGCTATGGTTATATAAATAAGTTTTAAAAAGTGATGCATCTGTTATGAAAAGTAAAATACATGTAAACGCTTCTAAGTATACTTTTTGTGCTGAATATAAAATTCTAATCAGCATGTTTTTGGATAGTCTTGTCAGGTGGACTATATTAATTTCATTTTGTTATACAAGCTATTAGATTCCTTTGTGTGCATACTGTTCTTGTTTGTTAGACAAATATAAGGAGAAAGACGATCTGACCCAGTCAGGTTATCCTTCCATGTTTCACAGGCTGATTCTTCAGAGAAGATGAGGCAATATGGGCTTTCCCATATACACAGCCATCCTGTCCTGATCACTAGAACTAGGTCCAGTTCTCTGGTAGCACCGCCAGAACCACCACCACTCCCTCCTTGGAAGCTTTTCCGTCAGAAAAAGCAAGTTGTTGTGACATCTGAACCACAAGGTTTGTCTACTAAAAACTCCAAAATAAGTTTTTAATTACATTTTAATTATTTCAGGTCCATACTTATAATCTGTTAGCTTAATTTCAATTGAACTCAATTTTGTATTACTTCCTCTTAGCCATATCTCCTACATGCTTTGAGAAGTGTCTTAATTTATGTTGAAAAAAGCACTCGAGTGGAGCAAATGAAGAGGGGATGTTACCAAAGTAACACAGAAGCTCTCTGATGCAGAGCCATGAAAGCTTCTGAACACCTTTTAAAATTTTAAAGTATGTGGCTAGTCCTGCTGCATCAACTCATGGTTTAGAGTAATTTTTTCCTAGGGTTTGTCTGTACTGCATAATGGAGTTAGATGCATGATATGAGATAGCTTGAGCTATGAAAGTGTTACAGGCTAGCAAACTATACTGGGATAAGAAATTAAGGAAATTGGCAAAGGCAAAAAGTGCTGCCACAGTTGTTTTGAGCTACCCTGGACAACATTACACATAAGTTAGGCACAATTTAATACTTCACAGGCTGAGGATCGGGTGTAAAGCATTTATTTTTTCATTATTTATCACCTTGAACCACCCCTGGTTTTTCTATTTTATTCAAGTGAATGGGGTGATACTTGGAAAATTATTTAGGGGTGACGAATCCCCATTGGAAATTATTTCTCAGCATTAACAGTATTAAATACTTTTATGAATGTTTTTAACAATTTAACAAGTTGCTTTTTCCTCAGAGCCTGTGGTAGAGAAACCTGAAAAACACGTTGAGATCGCTAGCCTATTTTTTAAATACAAACTGAATATTATCAAAACACCAACAGACACGTAAGTATATAATGTAGTTTCAGCATTAGCATTGTGAAAGTGCACTGTGAAAATGCAATGGCTAATCTTTACTTGTGTCACGGGGAAAAACTGCTCAGATCACGTCTGAAGTACATCAGGACAAAGCACTCTGTTGTATTGCTGCCATGTAATTAATCAGCTATCAGTGAACTATGCATTTAGGATCAGTATCAGCAATACAATAGTTAAATTTGTGTACTAGACACTCACAAAATATTATAAACACCTAAAAACTTCTGATTAGCAACTTCCTGTAGCTAATCCCAAGGAGTTCTAATCAGGCACACAGATGCATACATATGCAATTATGCTCACCCTCCTGTCTTTGAGGCTCACAAACACCTCCTGTTTTGGGAGTGCAACACAATTTCTGTTGGAGATGCGAGTCCCTGGGCTTCGCTGTTTTTCCCCACGATCTGCTCATGTTTTCACTGCTGAGAAAGCTTCCCAGGGGGTGGCAGTGCACACAAGGGTCCCCACTTGTCACACCCAGTGCACACAGTCCCCTTGGCAGACGCACACGTCTCAGGGCTTCTGACATTGGAGGATGGGGAGTGCTGTTAGGCAAAGACACATGACCAGAATATCTACCCAGTGGGTCCAAAGATGCCCAGAATTTTTGCTAGATTACTTTTGCCAGAAATATGAATATTCTTTGATGTATTTCAAATTTTTCCTCAAACTACTCGTCTTTTTAAATTCTAACACGTAACAAGGAAATAATTGACTAGCCACTCAGTATTTTCATGGACATCACAAGTTTAATATGGAATACTTAATGTTTATGAATAAAAGAGGCTATTCTGTCTTCATGATAGTTGTAACAACAAGCCTGAGAGTGCAGGTGAAGAAGCTCATGGTCAAAAAACAGCTTTGTAAAAATGCCTTGTGTTAAAGACTGTTTGGAAGTCCTATAAACCCTTGAAAACCAAAGTCTTTATATAGTGTTTCTTAGAGAAGTTTCAGAAATTGTTGTATACATGACTCCTAGTCAGTATTCCATGATCAGCATAATACTTGCTCCCTGGCATGAAAAGAAAGATTACCAGAAAGTGTATCAGAACTGTGTTTATTTTCCTAGGACACACTTGCATGATGCACTTCTGTCAGACTTCTGCTTATGATGTGAAGATTTAGGCAAGTTCTAGAATTATTAATTCTGTCTCTCTTATTCTGACTGAGCTTCTGTCATGAAGCATTGAATGCATCTTACACCCAGTGTACACAAAAAGGTTTATGTCATTTTGGAGGATATGCCTTTTCTTGAGACTGAGTCCAACAGCAGGTTGCAAATTGTTGAACTATGTATTTTAGGGTATGTACTGTGTACATTTAGTGTGTGTACACCCTTTGTTGAGTACATCTTTGAATAAACCAACTAAATTACATATGTGGCAGGTTATGATGATTTTGATCATCATAATTGATGACTGATAGTTGCTTCTGGGTTCCAACAAAACCACTTAGATATTTTAAAATTTTTTTAACAGCAGCATTTGTCCATGGAAGGCATGTCCTTGGAATATTCTGGAAATGTAATTGTTGTGCTGATACAGCTGCATTTTGTTAGTTAGAAGCCCTTAAATTGTTTGTCTTCAAACAGTAGGAGTAGAAATACATAATGCTCTAAGCAATTAACAGGCTATCAAAGCTATGAGAGATTGATAATGAAGATGTTGAAATATTTACATTTTAACAGATTTTATATTGCTTTTTCATATTTGATGGATTGCTTCATGGTCAACTTACCCCATTTGGGGAAGGATAGTTTATTTAATGTTTTAAGTTCCATGACAATTAGCTAATTTAATCTTTGTGATTTAATTAACAGGTAGTAGCCAAAAATATATAGCAGGTATTAACATTTCATTAAAGTAATATTGCTGTGTAAATAAGATAAGGGACTTAAATACATAATTGGGACTGAAGGTTTTTAATCTCTTCCTTTTCTTCTAATAAATTATTTTGAAATGCTAAAAGGCAATATAATTGTGACTTTTACTGCAAAAGATCTTGATCTTTCCTTGCCTCAGTCCTTAAAAAGGGGGCTAGGTAACAAGTGCTTAGATTTTAATTTGTTCTTTATTACTATAATAGCATAATTACACACTTAATTCTAATTAGCATGTATGCAAAATTGTTTTGGTCTTGTTCTTCTTGTCCTTCACTTAATAAGCAAAGAGTTACTTTTATTTCCTTCAGTTTTTACTCCTGCCTCCAGTGAAGTCAGCAATGTAGCTTACTTTTGCTAGTACCAGAATAGGCCTGCACAGGTTTCCTTGGTTATCCTGTGTTTTAGCAGTCTGGTAGCTATGGAGACCCATTTTGAGGGAAAAGAAAAGAAAAGTACTCTGACACAAAACTTTTTTTTTTTTTTTTTTTTTTTTTTTTTTTTTTTTTTGTCTTATCTCCATTCAAGTAGTATTTTTTTCTTGTCTAAGTGCCATAGTAATTTATTCATTTCTGACATTATCATCTAGTTTTCACCTGGCTTGGGTTTTGATTTTTTGAGGGTTAGTTAAGAGGCCTTTCTATCATAAGTTTGTGTGTAGTGCCAAGTCAGTAATGACAAGAAATATATGAAGATATGGATTCTGTGCTGCCCTAGGGATCTTTCAAAATAAAGAAGGCACAAATTATTTTGATGAAATTCTGTTAAGAATAGTTACGAAGACTGTCATTTGAAAGAAAATGTATGGATTAAAGTGTTTGTTTTCTCTTTTATTATTTAGCCACTGTCCACAGTCTACCCTCAAAAAAGGATTTCATTCTATAACCCATCTCACTTCTGTTACTGAAACTGATGAAAATGACAGCAATGGGGATATGAATCCAAATGGGAGACACTCAAATGCAGATTATTCTCAGGTATAAAATATTTCTATTTTTTTAACTTGACCTAGTTTTATATTACAAAGGATAGTGAAATACAAAATAGAAGCTAGTTAATACTGAAATATATGTTTTCAAAGACATTTCAGAAAGCTTTTTCCCTTGCTATTGAAGTAACTTCCTTACCCTTTCCACTTTATAGTTATATAAAGTTATAACTATATATATAGTTATATTGATGTATTATGTGTGAAATCTTTATTAATACCTTTTCCTTTAGCTTTCTTTTTTTTTAAATTTTCTCTCAGATTGTAAAAGTTATATTGCTAAGACCGTCTTTGTTTTGCTTGTTAAAATCCTTTTGATGGGAGTATCTTAAGAAGATAGTCTGCGGTGTTTAATATAAATGTTTTTTATATTATGATTAGTTTATTTTGGCTACAGTGCAAGATGTACCTAGGCACATATAAAAATGTAAACTGTATTAAAACATGCCTTAAAATGGCATCCTCATTTAGGACTTAATGGAAAGACTTCTGGCTAGATCTGGAAAAAGAGGGAAGATTTTACTGCTTAGTTGGCCTGCTCTTAAATTTGAGAAGCTCTGCGTTCTAAAGGAATCCTCAACTATGGTTTAGACCCTCAGGCTTCCTGTGCAACTCTGTGAAAGAATGACATTCCTCCAAACAGGTTCACTAGATACAGTACTGACTACACAAGTTGCCTCAAACCACTCAAGCCAATGCTAGTTACTAGGTAGAAGTCTCCACTGTAATTTTCCAAGATAGACAAGATTAATCTTACCTAAGTTTAAGAAAACATTACTAGGATGACTTTGGGAAGATGTAATTACTGATTTTTGTAATGCTTTTTTTTTTCTTGTTTATATTTTTAAAATGGAATGTGCATACATTACCAAAATTTGCTTTTAGATAAATCTTTAACAAAATGCTCCTTCTAGTATTTAAATCTTACATCCTTAACAGAGAAAAAACGATGCTTTCAAAGAGTTTCTGAATAACACATTTCATGAAAAAAATTTTCATATGGGGAAATAATTGGCAACATAGAGAAATAAAGACTTAAATACTCACAAACAAACAGAGCTCCACTGCTCCATTTGCTCAACACCTACAAAGAAACTCAATGTGGCAGTGCCAGCATCTTTTCAATTTCATTCTTACTTCAGCAAACACTACTCAGAAGACCATTTGATAGCATTTCTCTTTTGGCTTTAAATTTTTAAATGAATGGGAAGTAGTTTTGTATGTAATTTTGGGAGTGTCTATATTTTCTCTGCAGAGTACACTCATACCATTTTTATATTTCAGATCTATATGTATACTGTGTGTTTAGATAATGTGGATATCATATAGATAATGTGTAGATATCATTAGTAGACTTAATTATTTTAAAATATGGCAAGTCTTCAGTGAAGAAGAATACTTTACAATAGAATATATCTATGACCTGTGATTCTGTGATATATTTAGTTATTCAGTATTTTGTGTACATTTTATATACAATAGCCTAATTAGTACTTCAATAGTACTTTACCTTTAAAGTATCTTTAATAATGGCAGCATACAAAAATCATTACAAAAAGTAGGAGGCTAAAAAGGAGCTGGCAGTATGTCTTGGTTTGGGACTAATTTGAAAGGAAATTTCTGAATGGGGTCTTTCTAGAAAGCAAATTCAAGGGCCCCTCTTCCCCACCGGTTTGGGAAAGATCTCCTTGGAAAAAAGTAGAAAAAAAATGTTTATTTAACAAGCAAAATATTCACAAACATGAAAAAATGAATAATATTAAACAATAAAACATCTAGCCATTCTGAAGAGATGGCAAATTCAAAACGTCCTTTTTGTAGAGTGTAGCTCGTCTCACTCAGTCGCTTATCAATCCTTCCTGCACTAAAAAATGCCATGTCCCAAGCCCTGATAGGCCACGAGTGTGATCTTCCAGTATTTTTTGGAATACTGGACAAACAAATCCAAAACAAGTTTGAGCAGTTCCAAAAAAAACCCCAAAAAACTACACTCCAAACAACTTCTCTGCTTCAGCTAGCTAAAAAATAATTAGAAGCTAAAGAAAGCTCTTTCTCACTGTCCATGCTGCAAACAACAAGCGCTGAAGAAAGAATGCAAAAGAATAAGTGCAATTTCTGCAAGCAAACTACACACTTCTTCCTCTCTTCACTCTCAGAATCAATTAATAGAAGTTTATGTGCTGGAAGCGTCAAAGGAGTGTGAAACATCCCTTAGATTTTCTCCCCAGTCCAAGAGTGATTTAAAAAGCTGATCTATCACAGTAGGATATGCAGTTAAGGAGAGACAAGGGCGAGTATGAAAATACATGAGGGAGACACTAATAAAACTGGAATGGTTGGAAGAAGACATGAATGTGATGTAGGCTGAGGGTAATCTGATTCAGACATGAAAAGTAAGAAGTTATGAGCAGCTAATTGACTTGTACATGAACTTTACTTTTGCCTCAATTTAAACCTCAGCTGAAAAATGCTTTGCCTGTTGATAGCTAAAGTATGCAAGTAGAACTTCGTTTTTACAGATCGGAAAAGAAAATGGTTTTTAACTTGAAAAACAATCTTCTTTTTTCACATATTAAATCTTTTAATCAATAAAATTATGTGGATATCTCTGGCAAATTCATAAAAGAAGATCTTGTTTTCTGTAGTTTTAGAACTTGACATAAGAGCATATACTTTTTAAAAACAAGTCAATTAGTGATTAAAAAAGTGAACACTGAAAGAGAAACTTTGATATCCCAGATTCACTATATTATTGCTAATTTTTTAGAATTTTGTATTCCAATATACTGAATGTGAATAACTTTTTCTCAATTTTAAACTGTGTGATTACTAGTCAGGAGACATCTGCTTTAAAACCTTTGATACAGATTTGGTAAATCTTTAGGATACAGCAGTTTTAAGGTTTAAGCTGACTGAAATTCAGTCAGCTGCTGTGCCAGATGCTTGACAAGTTTAAATTGGCATATTTCAATGCACTCCAATGTAAACTGCATGAAGTAACATTAGTGAATATCTGGTTCACTGTTCCTAAGGTCTGTTGTCACAGAAACAGAGACTAGTGATACATGAAAGATTAAATTCTAGGAGCTAGATGTACCTCCTTTGAAAAATATGAAATTAAAAGACATGCCATTATCCCTCATGTCCCCAAAGTATTCATGCCAAAAACTTAGAAATGTTTCATTATTGAATTTTTCAAACTTTCTTTTTTTGCTATGATTTTCCCATTCACTGATCTTACGGTCCTGGAAGCATTTGGATTTTCATTAGGAAAAAGTATTTTTAAATATCTCTGTTCTTAAGAAAATGCATTTTGTTAATTTTTTGTCTAAAAACTCCATATCATAGGGCCAAAATCTTAAATGGAAAGGCTCTCTTTTATTGTTGTTCGATAGAAGTTAAGTAATTTATATGCATAGGACACATTGAAATATATGTGAAAGTATTTTGTGGCCAGGAGAAAACCAAAACCGTCGTCATAGGTAAGTTGCACAGTCTTGCAGATTTATGCAACTGTAATTTTGTCAAATACTTCTGAGAAAAAGATTATTCTGGAGTGTGTTTCCTTGTAGATCTGCCACTTAAAAGCCTACTTGAATATTCTTCATTGGGATGAATTTTTCAATAGACGTTATCTCCAATTCCATTGAGAATAAAGCTCTATGTGTTTGTTTGAGGAAATGCAAAGCAAGAAAATCAGTTTATGCTTACTGTATTGTTTACCACTATATTTTAATGCACTGATCTAATTGCTATGTTCATGCATCTTAAACAAAACACTCATATTTCTCTTTGTGGCTTCTTCAGTGTCAAGGTCCCTGGCAATGCTAATTTCTAGAGCAAAAGGGTTAGAGTCTCCACTCTTTCCCAGTGACACAAATACAAAAAATTTGTTCTTTAATGTTCATGTTTCCTACATGTCTGTCCATTATATATTCAAGCTCTTATTTTCTTGTATGCAACTGTTATCAATTTATTTAATTTGCCTGCTCTGCTGTCTGCTCTTTTCATATTCCCCAAAAACATTACCGACTTTTGTGGCATAATAAGCTTTTTCTTCTTTTCACTCCAATCCTTATGCTGTATTTCATAAGTTCTGTGAATTGGTATTGAGGAGAGCTAGGTAGGAAATAAGAAAAATGTATTTTCTCTACAAATTTTTATCATTTTGAAAATTACTTCACCCTGCATAAAATGGAAATTCCCTGCTTATTATTTTCAGGGAAAAATTACACATGACATATGAGGCATGTGAATTAGAAGAGAGACTTGAAAAGAGGCATTTAGACATTTGTGGTATGGAGACACTTTGATGGGCCCAGAATCATCTACTTGCACAGACATATTGGGCAGCTTCAACATTAGAGACTGAATAAAAGAGATGCCAGTTTGGTAATCTGGTATTTTTAAGTTTAAGTTATTTCTATATCTCAGTTTGTGCACAGCTTTGCAGATGTCTGTTCTTTTGTAATATTGCCTTTTTCAAAACTCATCTCTGTTATCTACTCTCACATCACAGCTGAAATGAGAACTGATATTCCATTTAGTGAACACAGTGACTGAGGAATAAAGAAAAGACTGTCCAAATGACTGTACATGCAAAACCCTTTGATCATATAACACTCAGGTCAACATCAAACCTTGAAATTTAATACAGGTTTAGATCTTAAGAAATATTTTGGTCATCTTTTTCATTTTGAAGGAATTGAAATGGATTTTTAATCTTAAAAATAGAGTACCTGAAACTTCATTCCTTCACCTGCAGTTATATTCAGAGTGCTTATTTTTTGAAGAAGACTTCTGTTTTAAGAAGGTGTGTTAAGCGTTGCCATGCATAATTTCTACAATAGAAAAGGCCACCATTTTTATAAGAATATCAGATAAATAAAAAAACTTATTATTTGGTATAAAATAAAAATAGAGCTCATGTTAGGAGGCTAAAAAATATGAATGAATCCTTGAATATAACAAGATAGCTATGAATTTATGAATTACCATTATTTTTACAAATATGCATTAATGATTATGAAACCTAAGAGGTGATAAATTAGATTTTTAAGTTATCTACAGAATTATCATTCAGTTTTGCCATTCATTGAAGGAAGAACAATAAGTATTTCTCCAGAATCTAACTCTGTGCATCATTCCATGTTCACAGCTGGATCTATTTTCCAATTTATTTCTTTGTAAGATACTGTGGCAGCAGAGCTGACTTTTCAGGCAAGGTGTGTTCATTAAGGAGGAAAAATGCCTTCATTTTCTATTTCTGTGCCAATGTCTTAGGCATGGTACAATGAGGTAGTAGTATAAAAGAATGAGAACTTCCTTGACACTCCAGTTGTCTCAAAGTCAGTGAACATTAGGTAGACGAACGCATCCTGTACCATTGAAAGAGCAGACAGCTTTTGACTGTGTTATGTTTGTGCTCCAAAAGCTGAGTAAATGAGCCTATGGGAGTCTCTACACAGCTGTGGTTAGACTGGTTTCACAGCTCAGACTACATGAAGTTATTAAGCATCCAGATTTTCCAGGGCACATTCTCCTTCTTCACTGAAAATTATGTTGGTACAGTTTTTGAGGATTTTCTGTATCTCTCCAGGATTTCCTGCTGCCCACTGTTAGTACTGACAGAGTAGCTCAGTATTAAACTACCTCATGTCCATACTAGAAGCATGGATCATATGTACTGCCCATGAGCAGTATATTGGGCAGAAAGTGCTAGACTTGTTGTATAGATGTTTCAGTCTCCAAGATTTATACAGTAGATCTCATACTTTTTATACTTTGGGCATGCCCAGGATTTCTGAAAGAAACTCAGTAAATTGTACAGCTGACATGTATCGGTTTGGTAAATCCTGACTCCTACAAAAAATTTGGCAACACTGGAATCTTGAAAGCTGTAGGCTCACATGGAGAAATATGACAGCTCTGTGCATGTGTACTTCCAAAGTCACAGTTTAAAGGGAAGAGATAGTCCATGTGATTTTTCAGACTCATATGTTGAGATATGGCTCTCAATGTGACATGACAAGTGATCATAGCTTGACTTGTTCTGAACAGTAATCAAAAAACAGTAATATCAAAGACCACTGTTTTAATAGTGAAGTGGTAGGTATATGAAACAGCTTTTATCTCATATTGCAGATGACATGTACTTCTCTAGAAAAGCATCAATGTGTCTGTTGGTGATATGTATGTAGCTATTATGATGAAATTTCCTCATTTTGTTTTTCATTTAAAACCCCAGCCCAAACCCATGATGATAACATACCAGCTAGTTTCTCTGTCTCTGGAAGAAATGCCCCAAAATCATGTATTTTCTCTAACAAAATAATGCAAGATTATAACCTCAATCATTACTTTTTCTCTTGTTTTTCACTGTATAGGAGACCATTACCTTGTTGCAACAAAATGCAGGTAAGTGTGAGTAAAGTTTATAGTCAGAGTTTTGCCATTCTCATATTGTTTAGCATCAGTGTTAATTCTTATGTACATATATCAGCAGTCTTGCTTATTTATAGGTGTTGGTTTTACAGGAAAAGATTTCGAAGAACTGGTGATAGCATATATAATTACATGGAGTAAAATCGTTAGTTTGGTGTTCAAAAAAATTCAAACACTTCTCATAAGTTCCTCTCCAGGAAAACACAGTGGATTTTGTACACATAGCTCTTTGTAAAGAACTGTGAATTATAGTTTTGTTTTGTTTTTTTCTGAAAAATGGAAAAAAATGAAAACAAAAAACAGCTTTCATTTTAATTAATGTTCCTTTGAAATGTCTTTTACATCGCTTTGAAGAGTATTCAAATTTTTTTCTAAATTAATACCTCATTTTTAAAATTACTTCAAAAGCATTTGGTCAGAAAAATAAAAGGCTCTTAAAAATAAGAGCACTGTGATTGTTTTACTGGAAGCCTAACACCCATGTTAACATATTGAAGAGAAAGTCTTGATTTTTTCAGCTTTCAGGTAATTTTTCCATAGTTGAAAGAAAAGAAAAGAGCATTTGGTACCTTTCCTTATATTGCGTTTCTTTCAGTTCTTGAGAAATAGTTGCAAACTAATTTAGAGCCACACATTAGCTCTGTGTGTATTGGTTATAATGAAATATTGCAAAGCACATTTAAATATGAATTATGTATGTTTCTAATAGCTTTCTCATTTGTTATACCTTTTGTTTGAATATTACCTCATCTTTTTCCTCAGGAAGCATTCTGAATTAATTGCTGTTCAGTTCTTCTATTCTCAGTTGTTGAGCTATTCTTAAAACTTCATTTTGGGCCAGGTCAAACATTTTCAGTAACTATTTCTATGAATCTCAGAGAATAAATACAGGGAAAATTACATTACAACAAAAAGTTATTGAGTGATTGCAAAATCTGTCACATATGTCTGTGTTTATATTTTGGTATGAGTCTGACCTTAATTCTGATTTTCCTGCAAGAAAAATTAATGTAATCTAGTTCAAACCTGTTTCTGTTTAGAAGTAGTTAAACTGATTTGTGTGAGTAGCATCATAGGGGGTGCTAAGTACCAGAGGCAAGGCTAGGTATTTGTGTGCTCCAAATTTCTCTGTATTTTTTTCTGTAGGTTGTAAAATACTGCCTCATTAGCCTTCCACTGAATAGGAGCTTAGGACAAAGGGATGTATTTTTCTTTATATAGATGAATTTTGGTTTGCAGAAATCATATGTATGTGTACCTAACAAGCTGATACTGAAGATTCTAGGGCACAGTTCAATATGTGGTAGTTTATTGAGGCAGACTAAGCAGTTGCAGATGCAAACCCTAAATTTCCATATAGAGTTGCTTTAGTCACCATTTCAGCTTTTTAGGTTAGCGGGATAGCTTTTAGTTTTAAACTGTATGCATAATAACTGATGTATGGATAATTTCCTTGTCATTTAGGATCATTTTTAAGAATTATATTACTTTAACTTGCATATTATCACAGTATTGCCTCTGTGTGTCTTTTTATCTTTACAGAAGAACATGGTAATATCAGTTTAGATGTAAAACAAATGTCAGAAACAGTTGATACTGATATGAAGAACCAGACAGGGGCTAAATCAAAGGACGAAACAGCATCAGAAAAGATTTCAGTTTCCAGGGAAACCTGGATTACCTTTGAAGACTTCTGTGTTTGTTTCCAGTAAGGAATAGAGGGTTTGTGGTTTATTCCATACAATATACTGTATAAAAATGGTAAAATTCAAAACATGGCTATAAAAAAATTGTATCTTCTTAACAGATCTTTGTATAGCTGTTCTTTGCTGCCTTTCAGGGTGGCTTCAAGGCTGATCTTCAGACCAGACATACTGTCCCTGTTGACAGTGGGTCTGAAGCTGCAGCCCTACTCTGTGCCTTGGGTATATCCCCCAGAATACAGTGGAGAACACAACCAGCAGCTCCATAAAGCAGCTGTCAGACTGCAGCTGGGGTGGAAGATTGTAGGTCATGGAGTGTTGCAACCATTAGGTGCTTCTATGACCCATGAGGCACTGGGCAGACACAGTCTGCATCAAGACAACACAATTCTAAAGAAAAAAATGTTGTTGAAATCTGTTACCATCAGCATAGCTTTGCTTGATCAGCTAGATGTTTTGTCTCACTCCCTTTCCAATATAATTCCAAGGCATTTATACCTCTGAAAATATAATAAAGCTAGTGTACTTGTAGTATCATATCTTCAGTTACTGTCTTTCAGGTTTAAGGAGCCTGGTACAATACATACCCTTTAGACAATCTAAGATTTCCGAGGGAAGTAATTTTATCAGAGAAAATTCACCCAGTTCTTTTCTTGTTTGAATGTGCAACTAAGATTTCTTTGTGAAGCTTCTATTTTCATAAATAAGTGTTTAAACCCTACTCACTCTCTAAAGGAGAATGTATTTCTTTTATACCAGCCACCAGTACAGGAACTTTAGGAATAAAAGTCATAGATCATTTTAGGCTTTGTTAAGATTTCCGTGCTACTTTTAGGTAGTCCTAGGTCCAGGAAGATGGGACATTCTGGTAAAAGCATCACAAGCAATTTAATTTCCTTTGAAAGTCTTGCTCACACACAGAGAATGTAAAATATTAGCTTTCCACCTTATTATCCAAATGTTGAAGTACTGTTGGCCTTTTGTAGACAAATATTAATATTAATTAAGGCAGAAAACATTGTCAGTTTCTTATCTCTAAATGAGTGAGAGTTTATTTTCACAGTCAACTGATAAAGTAGCTGTTAACAGAGCATCTTGATTGACCTTTGAAGAATTTATCCCTCAGAAGAAATTGGGCACCTGAGATTTTTATTTGACCTGTCTGTTCAGTTGAAGATTTTTCCTTCTCTGTCATGCCTACCTCTCAGATACAGTGAAAATAAGAAGAATGTTTATAGTTCTTATAAATTTTGAGAAGTGAGGAATATTTTAGTCGTTGCAGGAATTGATATGTCAGCAGTAGATCAGAATCCCTGTGGAGTTTCTGAATAATCACAACATTGGTTTGGATCTGAGTCCATTCTCAATTAAAGATGAAGCCATTGGTGAAAACAAAGTCAGAAAAAAAATTGTTGCCAGGAACTATATAGCTTTTTGAAGGTCTGCAAACAGTATAGAATTGAAAAAACATTAACAAAGTATATAAAACAGTCCTTCTTTCAGTTCTACTTTGTATAAACCTTCATTTCAGTAATTTTCCTGTGACTATGGCAGTTTTATAGTAATATTAGCATGTTATCTTTTAGAGACTGAAAAGAAACAAATTAGTGGCTTGACTTCCAATGGAAAAGTGTAGAAATGAAACAAATATATGAATTAATTTTAGCTGCTTTCTCTGAAGATTAATTTCATTCACTTTTTTAATAACTAAAAGTGTTGAACCATTTTTGAGAAATAGCTGTGAGTCTGACTTGTGAAAGTAAAATTAATATCTTGTGCTATGAAATAGACATTTACCTAAACTATGTAACACGGTCATATATAACTTACAGTCATATATAACTTACAGTCATATATATCTTATATTTCAATTTTTTATTCTTCTTAGGAACCTGTATGTTTTCCACAAGCCACATACATATGCTTATAATTACGTGAAAACAGGTTTTAAGGTAAATGATTGTATTGTCCTTTTTTCCCCGAAGTCTTACATAATTAGATAATACATATATCCTAAAGGATATTAGTAGAGCATATAGAAACACTGCTACCAAAAAATAATAATGCATTAAGATTACTGCAGTCAATACAAATGTATGTTTGCAAGCAAATATTCAACATTATATATATGTGTTTAAGAAAAGGAAAAATGCTGTGGAATGCTACTGCACAATAACAAAAAAAATGGTTTATGTAAAGAAAAATGATAGTGAGTCAGATCTCCAACTACTCTTTTTTTTAATTTTAAACTACCTTTTAACAATTTGGTGTCTAAAGTGTATTTAATAATGATTCAGTTACAGAATCTGCTCTTCAATTCTCCTTCATCTTCCCCTGTCTCCTAAAACCCAATTTGTGAGTCGGTTTAGCATATCACTCCATTTTCTCTTTACATGCTAAGTCCTTTTGCTATTTACAGCATCCTTTTGCAGGAATTTAGAAATACTCTTTAGTTACATTCGAATAATAGAATTTCTCTAAACCTGCCATTAGTTCATATTATCAGAAGGTTGTTCAACATGCTTGAATATCCTTTACCAGCTCTTATTTTATAGTGTATCTGAAGTGTAATTGTAGAGAACCGAAATGTAAACTCCAGGCATGAAGTTCATGTAAAATCCTGTACTGAGAAGGTTAACTGCATTGATTATGCTCCATAATTGTAGTACACCTGCAATTTCCCACCTCTCTGTAATCACAGCCCAAGACATTTTCCTAATGACTGTGCGATATACTTTCCTAAGCCATAATCAGCATTAAGACTGCGTAAGCCTATGTGCTCTTGTGCCAAAAAAACCCCCTAACCATTTGCTGTAAAATCATTCTCATTTCTAACATTGAAAGAGGTGATATGTTTACAGTATTAGATAAATTCTGTATCATGCTTATAAAATAACATTTTCATATTACAATAGGAGGATAGAAATAAAAAAAAAATAAAAAATTTAAAAAAAAAAAAAAAAAAAAAAAAAAAAAAAAAAAAAAAAAAAAAGGATTTATATAACTTTGGAATAGCCAGGAAGACATGTACTGTAGCAGTTCTGAACAAAGAAGCTCATTCACTATTAGATTTTGCAGAATTACTGGGAACAATAGAATCATTCTCTAGTTTCTAATATTGGCATAGGAATAATGTATTAAAGTTGAGAGTGACAGATGTTGCCCTCATAGAGTTTTGTAGGAGAAAAACCCCTTTATAAGGGAGGATAACTCATATCTACAAATTCAAAGAGTACTTATTTCTTTCAAGCTTTCTGTAATTAATTTGAATCAGAAAGTTGCAGCAAGAAACCAAAACTTTTGCTCTTTTGTTAATTGTTGTTTGGCAAGGAAAAGTACTGCATTTAGGTACGTATGATCAGTATAATATAAAAGTAGCTATATTCTCACTAAAAAAAATAGTTCTGCTTCCTTTTATCTCTTAACTGAACACTATTGTACATGCAGCATAATGCTCTGGGCTTAAATGGCATGTCTGAAATTTGGAAGAAGTAGTGACAATTAATTGCTTACTCCCCATGCCATAGCTAAGGTCACCATATCCAAAATCTTAGTCCTACTTTGTATAAAGCCAGTTGGACAGCATTCAGAGCAAATGAATGAACAAACATCCATTTTTCTGTACAGTCTTCTGATGAGGAAATCTTCTATTATCTACTTGTGGACAGTCTGACGCCCACTGAAATCCTGGTTAGTTTTTCTGCATTAGTGCACTGCTACGTTACTGAAGGTAAGGCCAACACACAACAGTACATGTCAGTGCTGTGTTTTCCCATTCACGAATATTCTTGTCCATTGTGTTTGTTGTGTACGTGGACACAGTTTGAGAGTTTAGTTTGATATAGTCAAATTGATTTTAAGAAATACACTAGTATTCAAACAATACTTTGTCATTATTTCATACTGATGATGGACATTTTAATGAAAGAATCTCTCAGTTTTCTCTTTATTGTGATTTACTGGAAGCTTTTCATCTGCATGTTTCTGGAATGGATTTCCTTGTGTTTCTTGGGGTTTCATTTCTAGAGATTCCATTCTTGCAAGCTACTTTATGCCTTAACTGATAATAATGCAGCAAAAGCAGCCATATAACCAAAGTATATTTCTGAAATTATTTTTAAACTGGTATATGATAAGCTCTCAAATATGTTTAAGTTGGCTTTTTCAAGACCTAACAACTTGAATGATTTAAATATTAATCCCTTGTATTTAATGAAAAACATAGAATGGAATTCAGGAGAGTTAACATATTTTATGGTAGTTGGCTTAGGATAATCAGATAGTTAAAAACTTGATATGGATGTAATTAAATGCATCTAGAGTGGAGTAGAGAGAACCAAAAGAAAGCTTAAAAAAACCCAAACTGACCATTCTGTTAAAATAATTAAACTATAAGCTATAAATAGAAATGATTTTTTATGGCTATTTGCTTCCTATGCATGTGGACAGAAAGGATTTGATTGGAGTTTTACAGCAGCCTTAAGTGACTTGGAAGATGTCTGATGTGATGCCTTAAGCTTTTAATAAATACCTACTTTATTCCTTTAATTCCGTCTAGCCTCTGTTCTAGGTAGCCTCTCAAGGCATCAGATGTATATATCTTAGTAACACATTTTATAACCATAATTTCCTAGCAAATAATACAAATAAGCCATATTTTGTACCACCAATGCATTTTAAGTGACTGTTTTTTTCTGTTTTAGCAAAACCTAAATGAAGACTTTAAGTCTGACTGTGAAGTAGCTACAAATTCTGCATAGGTCTGTCTGAATGTTATTGTCATTCACCCTCCCCATATTATGTGGGTTGTATTTTGTTTTGTTTTATTTTCTTTACCTAGGTACTAAACAAGAATGTTCAACGGGTGTGCTGAGGGTTGAATATTTCTCTTGGAAATCTGTGACTCCTGGAGAGCTTGTGTTAAAGATGCATACATCTGCAACCAAAGCTACTGTGGTAACTCTTCCTGTTGGGTATGTACGAGGCTTCATTTCAGTCCTGACTTTTTAGTTAAGGCTTGAAATAATCCTTTACACAGTAACCCAGTGAGAGTTTATTTCCTAAAACGTACGTTTTTGAAGTATCAGAATGGTTGATAGCTAGGATTTGGTAAGACTGGCAAATTACTATGAATTTGCCAACACTTTTATAAAGATTCTGAGTTCTTTAGTCTTACTTAGGAGCATTTACCAAGAAAAATCACCCTGACTTGCTAAAAAATAGATTTAAATTCCTAAAAATTCCTACTTAAAAGTGTTTCTAACTAAAATTATTTGAAATGCTCCCTGGAGTAGCAAGAAAAATGTAAGAATTAACATTTTTAGTGGAGCTGTAAAAGCATGATGATACCATAGGAGTTTTCAATGCTTTTCTTGAAAAAGGATTTAAGAAGCATGACAGGAGAAATTCTAACATTATCCATGGACTCTTGCATATCTTACTTCCCATTCACATACTGCTTAATATGATTTTTTTCCTCTTTGCATGTAACTCTAAATATTCAGTGTGGGGCATTTGCTGATTGTTTAAATAAAGAAATAGATAAAAAGCAAGAGCCCTTGATATGTTATTTTCTGAAAACCCTTCCAGGGAAACCAGGAAAATGACATATTCATGTCTTGTCATAAGCATAATATTCCTGACTAATTCACTGAGGCCTTCTACTTTTCCAAAAAGAGAAAACCACCAGTTTAATCTCAAAGAGATGAAGCAAAATGGTTTTTAAAAAAATTAAGTATGATGTCAAATAAATAGGCAAAGAAAGAAAACACCACAACACTAGCATACTGAAATGAAATCAAACATCTTTAATAGTGCTGTTTATTTGTTTTGATTCAGACTAAAACTGGAATAGTTGTTGTTATTATGTTTATAGATTACCTTCACATCTAGTTCTGCATTCACATGTATTTTCTTAGTGGAGTTTCTAAAAGTTGTATCTCTCTGTACTGTTGGGAGGCCAAAACTATCTATCTTTTTGCCCCTGTTAATTTCAAAGTTAGCAGAGATACCATCAGCTCAAATTTATAAGCTTCCACCATTGATTCTCTTTACTCCAGTCAGAGACAGGAGGCTTTCAGTCAGATTTAATTTACAAAAGGTGTGGGAGACAAATGGATTAATTGACTACTTCCCCATTTCATTCCAAAAGAGAAGTCACTTGGTAAGCATGGAAGGCATTCTCTTCCCACTGTCTGTTAGGGGACATTTAAATTTCAGTCAAAAGAAGATATAATTAAAAACTACAGTGTATCTGGGGAGCATTAGCTCTATTTTCTTACTCTCACTGCTGGATCTCTGGTTAACACTTGAAGCCGTGGCCTGGATAAGCTTCTCCTCCTAAATACAATTCTGACAATGATATTACCAAATGTGTGAAAGGAAAAGCTTAAGAATTGCTGCAATTAAAAAAAAATTGTTTGCTTGAGATTCTTTCCTGATTGCAGGCGACACATCCTGCTCTTCAGAGTAACTTCTCCCATAGGGCACCACATTCATCTGTGTACCATGGTGCCATGTGTCTTTGGAGAAGAGGATGCTGTGATCCCAGCTCTTCAGAAGGTGTGCATAATGACTAATCAAACATTATGATAACAGTTTTTCTGGCTACTAATTAAAGGGAAGTAGTATTGGATTTCCATTTAGAATTATTATATTCAATGGTATAGTATTGATTTTAATATGAAAGTGGTAAGGCCATTAAAGATATGTGTTTTACAGCATAACAGGTACTGGATGCATATTGCAAAAATTATCTTGCATAAATATGTAAGTTAAAATTGGGTAGTATTGTGGTTTACATAGAAGTACAGCAAAAAATGTGAAAAGTGCTCTTGTTGAAATACATATGTCACAGTAGCAGATCACTCACTCTTTGAGTCATGTCATAAAATACATGTATAAATATTAATTAATATTAAAAAAACCTGTCTATTTAAATAAAATCTCACATCAGTGAAGTATGTTTGGTCCCATGAGATCACATATTACTCACCATATCCCAGAGCAGCTTTTATATGTAAGATGAGCAATTTAATTAAACAAATTTTCGTAGCTGAGATAAGAGGCTCAGGGAAGAAATTATTACAGCTTTTGTTCTTCACTGCCCACATTCCAGACAGACACCACTGTCATCCACATTTTCGAGGTTTCTTTAGCAAGTAGAAGGCCCAAATATTTGTTGAAGTCCCTGAGGGGAAGGAACATATTTTCTAGAGAACATTTGTGCAGAAATGTTTAAAAAGTGTGGATTCTGGGTCCTAATAACAGGGCATTAAAACAGCTTGTGCAAATTTATCACATTTATTGTGATAAATAAGTTGAAATATAAGAAGTTGAGTCGTTAAAAATACCTTGTGGGGGTACTATCCCCTTTCCTTCAAATTTTAAATGAAAAACTATTTTTCATCAAGAAAATAAACCAGAATTTTATTCTTGCGTTTTCCCTGCACTTCTTTTTGAAGCAGCTTCTCTGCAGGCTGTCATTTGCAGGAACGCATCCACATTCTTGCACAGAAATCCTGGTGAAGGTTATTGATGCTTTAGGCAGCATGTATTTGATCATTGTTTTCAGCAGGATGCTAGTACTAATTTGTCCTTCTGTAACAGAAGATGCTGAGCACTTGCTGAGCTGACAGTCTTATTATAACTGCAATAGAAAGTCTCTATATGGATCTTATTTTTGATTAAATTTCCTAGGATTAATGATATAGAAAAAATAAAACAATGAATAGGTGTTCTATGGTGCCTGTTATTTATTTCACTGGCTAAACTTAGTGAGAATTTGATATTCTTTTGAATATCAGAGACATAATTGATTTTGCAGTTTATAATATTACGAAGAGCTGCATGAATGCCAAAAGATTTGTATTTCATCACAGAAAAAAGGCTTGTATTCTTTCATTGCCCAGAAAGAAATCCAAAGAAAATCTTAAAGCAATCTTTCTAACAATTGTTGGTTTATTCTCTTTCCCCAGGAGAGCTCTCGATTTATAGAACAGGCTACAGCTATCCTGAAAGCTGTTGGAAATGTGATAAATAATTTCAGCAGTAAGGATGAGCTTCCTAAAGCCTTGAAGGAATTGGAAGTAGCTCATTGTCCTCCTGGCCTCCATGATACTGAAATAGCTAAAGAAAACATCAAGGTAAGCAAATAGTTTTAATGAACGCATATCAAAAAGCTACAGGAGCTGGATAACTGCTTAACGTTGTCATTATCCTCTTCAAAACAATGCCTGGGCACTTAACAAGGACCACCTGCATACTCTGAATGTGACATTCATTATAAAGTGTAAGCCCAAATGACATAACTTGCAACTGTATGATAATTATCTTCTTTTAAGAAGAAAAATTTCAATGTGCACAGAGCAGCACATTCTAAATTGAGTCTATTTTGTCAATCTAGTTTAGCATACTTTGGGGCAGAAAGCATGAGCTGTTCTTATATTAAAACTTCATTTTCAATTTGAAAGATACTACCTGAAATGCAGAAAAGTCTAATGGTTGCTTTCTGTGCCTAATGTTGATGGAACAGGAAAACATTATATAGCTTATATTTCTGAAGGCAGTAATGAGTTCTTTCATTCACAGTATTTCAAGTTGTTTTTCTTTGTTTCTTGAAACTATAGCATTCTTATTTAGCTTTTCTGCTCTGTACGTATGATAAATTAAAGATACATGATGAAAACATTACACTTTTCTCTAGATCTGTCTTCAGTAGCTTTCCTATATTATGAAAAGATTGTAACAAAAAAATTTGATAGAAGATGCACTAATTTTTATGTGTATGCAAATGCTGACCATATTGCTATAACTTGATTTTTCTAAAGTCAGTATTTTATATATTCCAGATTCGTTTATTTTCATCAAAGTACTAGAAAGTTCATGCAGTTTAGACTGTGTAGTTTAGAAGACTAAATAGAAGAAAGGGTTTAATATTTTTATAATCACTGATATTAAAAATTAAAATACCTAAGCTAGCACTTTTATACATGGGCTTGACACCAGGCCCAAATTCAGCAAAATAACAAAATTAATAAAGAAAGAATACAGATGCACTGCTCATGAAAGAGGTAATTTACATGCCAAGTCCACCAGGAAAAAAAATAATTGGTTTGAGCTCAGGAATGGAATATACAAATTTTAAATGCTCTGTGAAATATGTGCAAAACTTATAGACCTTAAGAAAAATTCAGTAGTCATAAACACACATATAAAAACACCCTTAATTCCCCCCTTTAAGAAGACCAATGAACAGATGAAAAAGAGTAAAAAGACAGAAATTAGATAAATAAAAGGCATTGAGCTGACAGTGATTCAAAGATGAAAATATGGAATTATCTGTGTTTAATACAAACAGTGAAAAAATTTTCGGAATACAAGAAAGAATCTACTATATTCTTTCTTTCCTAGTTTTTAAAAATTTAAAAATAAAGGATATGTTTATTAGTATTAAAATACATAAAATGTTTCCAGAAAGCAGAAAAACCTGGAATTAAGGACAATGAAAGAGAAAAATCTTGTATTTTCCTGTAAGTTGTTACTATGTTCTTCAACTCAGATTATGAAACAAGTTCTGTGAAACTAAAATTCCCATCTAGTAGGAGTGGGGGAGGAAAAAGACTGGATTTCTGCACTTTAAAGATCATCAATATATCAAAGCATAAAAATAGAGCCAAATCTTCCCATGCTGTGGCATCTCCTAATCTCAAAAGCATTCCCATTCACTAATTAGTCTCTGTTCTGAAACCTCAAGTTTAGAATTCCCATTGTCATGATAGCAATTATAATATGTTCTTGTGTCTTCTGGTATGAGGCAATCAATCCCCTGCACATAAACCACAAGGATGTTTCTGAGTGATAAACACACTGTAGAATAAGTTCTATTTTCTTATTTTTATAAGACAGGTATGAAACAAGTTTTCTCCCTATTGTTGTCTTGAAGCATTATAGTCCTACAGCTGGGGTTAATTTTCAGATACAGTATTTGTTAGAGGAAGTTAAAGACTTCATTTATACACAGTAAGAGAAGAGGTAAACAGTTTTTGAAACAATAATGAGAAGCAATATAAATCAGTCTTTATAAATGAACCATTCTTTGACTGCTTTCCCTTTTTATGATTTTAGGTTTTCAATGATGCATTTTGGTATTTGATCAAATATGTATTAGACAAGAAGGATCTTAACAGATATAAATTTGCCTTCAGGTCCTTTACTTTGGATTTTAAAGACAATATTTCTGAGGATGACACTGTGTTTTCAGGTAATGTATTGATATTGCCAATCACTTCAAATATATCTGCCCATTCTTATTTTCAGAGAAGTCAACTCTTCTCTGTTCTTGTTTTTTCTTGCTTGAGTAGGCACAGTTAATTTCTAAGCTTAAGACTTATACTGTTGACAGGACATCTGAGGCTCATCTCAGAATAGAAATGATCCTTTTCTTTGTTCCAAAATGTCTATTTACCCTTTGTTAATTTATAAAATTGCCCTTGGTCTTCATTGAATTGCATTTGTCAGTATTGACAAACATTTAAAAAATCCGCATTTTTTACCTCTTGCACTGCACCTCATCACTTTTGTTCAAATTTTCAGCTGAAAAAAGCTTAAATTGTTCACAAAAATGAGAGTCAACGAAGACTCAAGTTAGTACCTTAATTGAAAGTTCAGCTATTTCTTAGCGGTGGGTGAAGAGGTTTTTTGTTTGGTTTTAGGGAGAGGGATATTTTAATTTTTGTTGTCGTGCTGGATTGCTTGCTTGTTTTTTAAGCTTGTTATTTGGGAAGTTACTGTGTTGCCTGGCTAATTGGCTGGCTAGTCATACCCATGTGGTGTGGAACTGGCTACAGCAACATCTGCCTCTTCTACAGCCTGTGGTCAGGGTGTGCTGTGTGTACCTGAATGTACTCTGAGAGGAGCCAAGGTATTTATTACAAGCAGGGATAATTCTCTTCCCACTGTTTCTTTGTTTCATTTTTTTATGCAGGCTGAAGTTTTATGCAGTTAGGAGTAAGTTTGTCTGGCAACCATATATATATATGGCTCTTTTTAATTTTAAGACTTATTTATCAGTCTCTTTTCAGTAACTTTTTAATCTATTAATGTTAGCATTTAATTTACCAATAAAAGCCTTATGTATATGGTTTCATATCACAACAGAAAAATAATTTACCGGATTGGTGGGAAGAGACATGATCACCATTTGAAGGACTTTTATGGTTCTAGCTTTTTCTTAGTCAATTGTGAATTTTTCAAGTGTTTCTACTTGATCAAACAAAATGATACTAATTTCTTTTTGATTAGTCAATTTATTCTGGTAAAATAGTATAAAAACTAAATGAAGATGTACACAATATTATTACTGATACAATGTTGTAATACTTTTGCACTTTTAAGAAAGCACTAATGAGCACGTATACTTGTTTCTCTTTACTGGGAACTTTCCTCTGAATCTCCTCTCTTTGGAAGGTTATTCTTCCTGTGAGACATCAGGTATTTTTCAGAGAATTGCATCCCATGACAAGAGTATGTTACAAAGGTCAGCATATTGACATTTATCACACCACTTAAAGTAAACAACACCTGTCACATTTTTTAAAATTGACTGCGCTACTGATTTCTGTATTCCAAAAAAAAAACCTTGAACACTTGTCAGCATTAGAAGACATTTTTAAAATAGATTTGAATAATTAGCACAGTTGACAGGTTGTAGCAAAGATCTCATATAAATTACTAAAGTATGAAATCCACTGTGACAGAATATTTTTTAGGAGTTGGGCAGTGAATCAAAAAAGTAGAATAAATATATGGAGAAACAAAACTGAAACAGAACTAACTTTCTTCCAGTGTCCAATATATCCTTTAAAATTATTTGCTTTTCTAGAATTAAAGAGATCCTTATTGGACTGGAAAGGCAATTGTTTCCCTTTGGTTTTATTGATATTGGACATTTTTTGACCTTTATTGACATTTTGCCCTGCTTTATAAAGGTTGCTTTGGGGTAAATGCATGCTTTTGTTCAGGTTCCATCCAGAACCCTAAAGAAATAAAGCATAAACCAAGTGAACTGTCAGGGAAAAAGGGCTAGATAGCAGGAAAAACCACTTGAAAACTGCATTATAGAAAGGCCTCGAAGGATTGGCATCAGGTGAATGTCCTGCCCCCACATTAGCACTGCTTCATTGTCAGGTTAGTTGCTCAAATCTTGTCAAGACCTGAGGTTGTAACCCTTTGGAAGCTAACAGACATCAGTGTAAACTACCATAATAGATGAAATATTTTTGTCATCTATGTCTGCAAGAATATCAGGTTGAATATGAACTTTTTTTGAAATAGCACCTCCATTTTATATTGGCATATTCATTTTCCACTGTGTGCTGAATTAATCTCAAGATTTACCAAGGACAAGGATATTATGATACACTGCAGTTAGTGGTCATGCCTGCTAACGTTTCTGAGAAGCCATCCTGAAAGTGATCTACTCATATTTATTTGACTGCCAAGTATCATCCATGCCCATGGAGCAATTAGCAGAAGAGCAAGAAACAAGTGGAAGACTGTGCCATGTGAACATATGGAAAAAGATGGAAGTATCTGAAGCTGAATGCTTCACCATGGCATGGCTCTTCTGTTGTATTCTGACAGGAAAGTGAATAAAGGGGCCCTGCAGAACTTCGGGCAGTCATGAGTTACTGAATTTACAGAGGTATGTGATGCTTCCTGGGAAAGGAAGCATATCAGGATGCCTCCCTTCTCCCTGTTGCACATCTTCTTTGTTTACCTTGTCCTGGTTTCATTGTGCCCAGTAGTGAGCCAGTGGAGGTCTGTGGCACTGATTTTCTAGAGTCTTAAACACTTCACAGTCATTTAGGCACATTTCAAGGGCTACATTTCTTTCTTATGGATAAATTCCACTTTGGAAGTGGAGTGTCCTTTGTGTACAGTTCTCTCAAAACCTTCTGGTCTGAAATTTTAGCTGGAAGTCAAGCTGTTCTCTATAAGCTTATCCTAACTGTGAAACTGTATTTGGGAAGTCTTACCCAGTTCTTTTTCAGAGCAAGCTTCTCTCTCCTCCAGAAACATAGTTTAAGATGATTGATTTTACAGTTTTGTTGTGTTGTGTGACTGAAAAGAGAATTCTGAAAATTCGTTTCTTCTTGCATTTTGGATTTGAATTTGAGTTCCAGTAAGGGGTGAGAGAAAGTTTGACATTATTTGGTTGAATATGTAAAGTGCCTCTTGAGTACATGCAAAACACTCCTTTTTCAAAAAAATCATTCCTTCATTGCCTCCAGGAAAACTGATTTTATGGTGAGCAGTGTCTTGCTAGGCTGCTTTGAAAGTTTCTGTTTTATTATTAGCACAGTCTTCTGATTAACAACTAAGGTATGTCAGAGATTTTTGACAAATCTGTTTTCAATCATAATGTCAGATTTGAAACATTCAGTAGTTCAATATTGATGGATTTAAAGCATTCACTAGTTCAAGACTGATTGATTCAAAGCATTTCACAGTATAAATTTAACTGTTTATAAGAAAAAATATTAAGAAATGTTAAGTAAAAAAAAAGCTTTGAAAGATCAGAATATTTAATTTAGACCTTATTATTTTGCCTTAAATGTTGCAAAGGAAAATATTTTTGTTCTTATGACATTGTATAAAAAATTAGAACAAAAAAGAACCTCCTTAGGAATACATACTTTAGGAATATATACTCATAATTTTTGGGTCTTGGCCTGATCTGTGGTAACTTTTGACAGTTTCTATAAATAGAATTGATTTCTGTGTGACAATCCATACAAATATTTTACATTTGTGTTTAACATTAAACTAACTTACTGTATATCCAAATATTCTTTTTCCTCACAAATGAAATGTTTTATTTCTAGAGGTATAGGTATCTATTTCTAGTTATGTAGTCCACTTGACATCCTCAGTGGATGAAGTTTTCAGCTGGTTCACAGGGCAATGCCACACCAATACTTTTTTTATTTACTTTTCTATATTATTGATTCCTGCTCCATGTTAGGATATTCTTATCTATTAGGTCATCTGTGTATATGTGTGTTGATATATATACAAGTTTTATTTTATAATACATTATTTTGCCTTATATGTGGAATGTAGGCTGTGCAGCAAAACTCATTCTTCTGAGCCAAAGCACGAGCTGAAAATTGAAGTCTATTTCCCTTCCATGAAGACAATGATTAGTGGGGTCAGAAGTCATCTTGCCACTGGGTTATTTAATTGTCAAATAGACAAGTTTGTAGATTGAAGAAATTCATTTTGAAATGTGTTACAGTGATGAATGAATGGGAGAGCCAAAACCTTTCCAGGGCTGCACAGGCAGGACACCTTAGAACATGTTAAATTACAGTTGGATATTAGGAAAACATTTTGCACCATGAGGCTAGTCAAAATTGGAAAAGAATGCCCACGTAATTTATGAGGTCTCCATGGTTATGGAAATACTAAAAAATGGACTGGACATTTATTTAAGAACAGTAGCAACCTGTTCTGAATTCATCCAGCTTTGGATGTGGGATTGGACCAGATAACCGAGTGGTCCACTCAAGTCTGTATTATTCTGTGATTGATCATATGCTTCTGTTTTATAAAGTGGTGATGCCATTCAATTGTTCAGTTCTAACCTGGTTTATATTGAAGTGGGCTTGTATAATCTTTCAGTTTCCAAGTATTAAAGAGGCTTTCTAGGGTTTGGAAATGCAATACTGATGAGAAATGATGGTTTGAGAACATCCAGATTTAGCAATATTGTGTAAAAGTGATTGGATTGAAATGTGTGATCTGGCTGATGAAAGCAATACCTTAAGATAGTTTGTTTGCCTGTAATGTTGTCGACATTTTTCAAGCAGATTCTTCTCCTTTTTGTTTGTTGGTGCTTCCTTTGGCAGCACTGTTTCCTTCCTATCGTGCTGTCTTGCTCCCTTTGTTCCATATGTGTGCAGTTCCAAACTACCCCCTGGCACTGGCCCCTTGTAGTGTTGCTCCCCACCCTTCCCTAAGTCCTGGTGCTGATGGCTCCCAGGATGCTGATTTCTAGGCAGGAATGCCTTCAAAGAGCTCACTGCTAACCTGTCAGAACCCACTAATTTCTGTCCTGTTTCAAAACTCCTTGGTAACATAACATCAGTCAGAAAAATGAACTCTCCCTTTATCATAGATTTTACCCTTATTTTGTGTCTCCTTTTGTGAAGGCTAAACAAAATGTGTTGAAGAACACTGGTGTTGATATTATTACTTAATAAAATTATCAGATTGAGAGAAGTACTTAAGAAGTACCTAAAATCTTGTGAAGCTCTTTTAAGTTGTGTACAGAGTCAGGCTTTAGTGTATCAAATCCTCTTGGTTCACGTTTGGAAGAACATTTTGAAATTAGGGTAGGAGATGTGATTTAAAAAAAGTTCTTCAATAGCTGTCCATTTCCAGAAGAGAAAAATTAAATGATGTTTGTAATTAGCAAAGTAGCTGGTATTTGGACTTTTTTAAATTATAAGGTGTATTTTCTCCAACTTATGATATAAAAAAATAAATCAAGAATGATATTTTCATCATGGGCGTTTTTATGCCTGAAATCACTCTCCTGCTCTTTTGTGTTTATTTGTTGTTGTTTTTGGTTTTTTGTTTTTTGTTTTCTTTTTTTCATTTGTTACAGGCAGCTACAGGACTTCCAGCTTTGCAGATGTTACTAATTCTTCCATTCCTTCAGAGAGCAGTGAGGAGAAATCCCTTAGTAGTTGGGAGAATCGAACTCCCACATCTGAAGAAGAAGCAGCAGCTCTCAAAATTCAAACTGTCTGGAGAGGGACCTATATTAGGAAAATACTGAAGAGCAGAGAACCAGGTGTGTAATTTAAAAATGCCTTTCAAAAATGTTTCATACTTCAAATCTTCACTGTAAAGAGTTATTTACTAATTAATATCTAAGTAAAATTAACTGAAACTAATGAAATAGATCTTGTAGTTTTATTAAATACACTTAACCATTCAGTTAGGACATGGGATACTAGAAAGTATCTGAAAGATACACCCCCCTAGATTTGCACAGATACTAAATCAGAATTTACATTTACATTCATGTAGATTTAGGTCAGAGCTGGGCTAAATTTAAGGTTTTTTTCTGGAAATGTACAGGAAATTATACAAGAACCTAAGCATCATAATGAGCAGTCAGTGGAACACACATAGTATCGAAGTCTGATGCTGTCCTCCAAAGATACTGTACTGATACTATCCTTCATTCTTGTGCATACAGAGGAACCTTGCATAGCAGTTCAGGACTTGTAGCACATTTCCTATTCAGCAGTTCTATTATCTCAGCTGGAATACTGTGTCCAAGTGCAGTGTCCACGGTCCAGGGAGAAAAAAATAGCAACCACAAAGTTCTGAGTTTTAAGGATAGGAATTAAATATAGGTCTTGTACGTACAGGTTGTTAGTTTGTAATTTCAGAAAGACCAGATGAGAAAAGATTTTGCCATAAACTTTAAGTAACCACATGAGGAAAGTAATTTGATAGTAACAGTATCTTTAGGCTGATATCCAAAGGGTTAACAAAACGATCTTTAGTCTGAGATTCAAAGTTTGTGCCTTGAATCCGGACACATTCTAGTTAGAAAACGTGACATTTGTTTTTAAAAGGATAAGATATTTATTGGAATAAACCAAAATTTATATTGTACTACTGAAAACTTTAAAATCAGTCTAGTCTTCATCTGTATTCCATGTATAGAAGCAGACAACTTGAGATGACAACACATCCTGTTAAGTGAGTTATCCAGCATGGGTGGGATGAATTACCCATTGCAGCTGCCCAAATCTTTTCCTGTTGGCTCCACAGATAGTTTAGGTACATCCCTACCCCTTCCTGGTATCTGCAGATGAAAGTTGCTGGGAGTTAAATAGCCTAATCTCTTAGGACAGATAACCACATATCACTACAATATGTTACAGTGAAAAAAACTATAAATTGGAGAAAATACTGATCACATCATTTTTGCAATTGTAGGAGTGCTGAAAAGTAGAAAGATGATGATAAATTGAATATACTCAAAGGAAAAAACAGTTTTCAGCTCAGTGAAACTTCTTTAAAACTCCAAATAAATAAGGCAATTTACTTGTGCAAGTGGCAGGTGTAAATTTAGAACAATAGCAAAATTGGGTGTTATGTTTTCTAACTTATTTTATTTTCTCTAGGTACTAAAGAAAACACTGACGTTGAAGAAACTTTGAAAAACCTGTGGACTATGATTGAGTTAAATTTTGAACAGTATGCTGTAATGTTGTTAAGGTAATCATGCAATAAATCAAATTATTTTATCACAGACAGTTGTCATAAACTGGTTTTTTTTTTCACAAAATAAGCATGGTAAGAGCATTAGTAGTGTCCAGATTACAAAACCTTGATGGAAGGGATGAAATGCTTTTACTAAATATATGTTGTGTTTTATTCTGTGTACCCTATATGAGTAAAATCTAATTTTTAGATATGTTACAGATTTTTTCCTACAGCTTGAGCTAAAATATTACCTTTTGCATGTATTTAATTTTTTAGTATTTTATAGGCTGCCCCATATGTATAGATCTGATTCCTTCGTTAAGCAGTTAACCAGTTGATTTAAAGAAACTTTTTGATTTGTGCTATCTGTTAAGCAGTCACGGTTGACAGTAGAAAGGAGATAGCTTTACTAATTAATTGTAGCCAGTTTATTATCTCAACAGGGGAATTTTCTGTTGCACTTGCTTGAAGGAAAGTAGATGTATTTCTAGGTAGTAGAAAACGTAGCAGGTGTATTTCTATGCTTTCCCTGATATTTCATTACAGCTTTTGGAAAGATGGCTGTTCTAATTTCAGCAGTGTTCATGAAGTCCTTTGCAAGCCTAACACTCTTTGGGGATCACATATTTCCATTAAGTCCTCAAAAAATCTCTCTGCAACTGTTCACACAACTGATCTAGCAGTAAATCAGTTCTTCCAGGGGTGAGGATGAAAACTGGCAGTAATTACTGCCTGTGGATATAAATCCTCACTCCTTTTAACCAGAAATTTGAGCATCACTAACACCAGGTATAACTTTATTTCACCTTTTAGTGTTTCTAATCTTGTAAAACCTGTGACATTGATGGAATCAGGACTTTGCAACCACAGTCTTGTTCCAAATATTAGCCATCCATTTTATATTTTCAGCATTTCTACATCAGCAAAGATGACATGCAGTTTTCAGTCTGCCTTCAGACTTATGGGGTTCATAGGCATTGTCCTGAGGGATACATTTGAGTGTTAAAATCATGCTAGTGTACTTGTGCCTAATTATTTTTTAACAGCTGACAGATTTTCGTTTAATATGACAATCTAGCACCTTGGCCAATAAGTTTTGCTTTTATTCCTTTGTCGTTCCAAAAAGTTTTAAAACTAAATAAAGGGATTTTAATCTCCTAATAATTCCGCAGCTTTAAGATGATAATATAAAGAAAGTGAAGTTATGCTAACTGATATTTATTAAAAATATACAGAAAGAGGTAAAGTTTTGTAGAAACCATAACATCTTGAGATATTAGAAGCAGCTGTAGTCGCAGATAGATTGACGGATAGAAATATGTATATAATTTGCCATGAGGTCTGGAAGAACTGATCCCTCCATGATTTCTTTTTTGATTTAAGAATGAACAACTAGTAGAGAAACATTAGTACTACATTTTATCTTGTTGTATTACATTCATGCACAAAGTGGTGTTCTTCATGATCAGCATAGGTAAAAGTCAGTATATATATATATGCCATTCTGATTAGATTGAATTCTTTATCTTCTTTTCTGCTTTCCAGAGAAATGTTTAAAAGAAACCGTAATTCAGCTGAAAAGTTTCCTTGTTATGAAGATGAATGGTGTAAAATGTATTTCACTGACTATGCAGTAACATATGCTGATCAACCACCAAATGCATGGTTTCTGGTTTTCAGGTGAGTTTCACGGAGCCCTATACAATTCTTATGGGGAAGTAGTATTGATTTTAGTACTGGTTTTTCACTAACCTGCTTAAAAGTTTGCTTCTTGTCTGTCTGCTTTCCTTAAATTCTGACATGTACTTGTTCTGCCTTTGGCTGGAGTAGAGTTAATTTTCTTCTTCATTTCTTCTTAATTTTCTTCTTAATAGCTGGTAGAATGCTGTGTATTTGGATTTAATGTGATAATAATATTGATAAGACACTGATGTTTTGGTTGTTGGGTGCTTACCCGAAGTCAAGGACTTTTCAGTGTCTCACACTCTACCAGTGAGCAGGTGCACAAAAATATGTGAGGAAGCATAACCAGGACAGCTGTCCTGAAGTGGCCAAAGGGATGTTCCATACCAGAGAATGTAATGTTCAGTATATAAATTGGGGGAAGATTTTGGAAGGGGGCTGATCGCTGCTCAGGAAGAGGCTGGGCATCAGTCAGTGGGTGGTGACCAATTGTATTGAGCATCATTTATTTCTCTTGGATTCTGTTACTCTCTCTCCCTCTCCTTATCATTAAAAATATTAATATTATTAGAATATTTATTATTATATTTTGTTTCTATTGTTAAACTGTTCTTAACACACAAAATTTGTATTTTCTTTCCAATTCTTTCCCTCAGGTGGGTTGGGTGTGGGGAGTGAGTGAGCAGCAGCATTGTACTTAGCTGCTGGCTGGGGTTAAACCACGGCAATATTTTTTTGCTTTGTGTTGCATATATATTTTTATTTGGAAAAATAATTTTGATATAATTTAATTTTTTTTAGAGAAATATTTATTGTTCCGGAAGACATGTTCGTATTGACAAAGGTGTTTACCACTATCCCTTCCTGTAGACTTCATGTTCTTGATAATGACACACAGGAGGAAATGCCACTTGTCTTTTTCAAAGTGGCATCTCATGTTTATCCCAAAAATAAGGTAAATGCAAGAAGTTGCTGCAGAAAATAAAATTTTAAAAATAATAAAAAATGCCCAGATTCAGTGGAGATTTTTAGCTGCGTCATAGTGTTCTACTTAAAAGCATGCCCTTATTTAATAGCAATTTGAACAGAGACCATCACTGATCTGCTTCTGTGCTGAACATTTATTAGTAAACTTTTGATTATTCTCTCCTCTGTATTCTTTCCAGCTGCTGCTGATTTGGATTTTTTTTTCCTGTTTATCATGCATAACACTGAACATAGTAAAATTTGTAGCCATGTTTAACTTGTGGCCACAAAAAGTTTGCATAAGGAATGATAAGAGTACATCTTTTCTTCTCATGGGTACAGCACAGTTGCCTCAGTGATTCTGTCAATTACCTATAAAAATGGCCCTTAACATTGGATTCCTGCTCTTCCCTATTGAAGTCCCCTCTTAAAGCCACATTTTTGCAATTGTTTGCTAAACTAATTGTCTATGTTTTGTAATATTCAATGAGGTTAACAGCAAAAGAGTGATTTTTAGAGTATTAAAACAGAATTGTGCAAGCATGCTGTATATTTCTACTTGTTCTTATTGCATTTCTCAATCACTGAACTCTTGAGTTCTTTAGTAAGAATACAGCCTTATACTCTGCAATTTAGCTTGTTTCTTCCTAATTCCAAATGGTTGATTCTGGTTTCAGTGGACCTGAACAAGTTTCTGAAAGCTCTATTAATGCTTCAACAAGATATTTTTCAATTAGTAAACACAGAATACAATTTTATTATTTTAATCTGTTACATTTTTTATAACAGTATTTTGTAAAAAATAGTCAACAGTGTAGTGCATCAAGCAAGAAATTATACAGTATGCCTGAATTCTTAAATGGAAGTATTATTACATAAAAAGTAATTTGTTTTAAAACTACACCTACTAGTTCTGCTTCCAAACTATGACTCAGCAATTTACAACAGAGATAAAAAAGAATCCTGTCAACAGATACTGTTATTCTGCTACAGAGACACTCCTGGAACGCATTAAAGTTCATTTCAGAATGATTGACAATGAAGATAAAGTCTGCACACTAGCAATAAAGTTTGTCTTCTTTTTTCAGACATTACAGCCTAGATGGAAATTGGCTACTTGCTTAGCATTATTTGGATTTTTTGGGTTGCATTAAATTTTCTTATTTTTTGGTGTTTTTTCTACTGTTGAATACAGTTGAACTTGGTTTAGTTCTTGGTGGTTTTTAAATTTTGCTCTCTTTATTATTCACAAGTCTTTTGAACAGATTGTAGAAAAGGATAGAGATAAGCACTCAAGCTTCAGCTGGCCTACTTAGATAAGAGTTTAAGAAATCATCTCTACCACCATATGTAGTCTAGAAAATAGAAGTCAGTTTGAGCAAGGAGAGTGCTCAGTCATTTCTCTTGTCTAGTCATAGAAGGACATAAGGGATTCATCTTACTTTGCCATAAAGTCAGTTTGGGTGGTCTGTTAGAAAACAATCCTTTCTGATTCTAGAGACAGTGAATTGTAACAAGATATCTTAAGTAAGTAGTGAAACCTCTTGAAGGTTTTTTTTTAAGAAAGCGACATAAATTTAATGGGGTTGTAAACATCTACTTTTTTACTTCTCAGACATGACTTGATCATCCTACCAGACACAAAATTCAGTTATTGTGCTTTCTAATTGCTCATAGTATTCAGAATGTGCTCACTCAAACTCTTAGTCCTAAATTTTCTGAATGTTTTTAGTGAAAATTAAGATTGTGTAAGATTCTCTTTATAGATAGGTGTACAAGAGAAATTGCTCTTTTCATGCATCCTGTGCTGTCAGAAAGTAGTTGAATATCTCGCTAAATCCTTCTCCATTTCCAGGTGTACTTGATAAGAACAGAGGGGCCTGTAACTCTGTGCTTAACTGATGTTTAAATGAGTTCTCCTGAATGGTTACTCTGAATGATTGCTATTACCTTGTGGGGATTAAAGGTTGTATATTGCCTTACTGCTACAATTGCACAAACTGGAATAATGAATAATTTATTTTAATTTCATTCTACATATTCAGTACTTCTGGTGCTGCAGTTCTGAATTATTGGATAGTCCTGAAATCACAACCCTATTTATTATAAGGATTTTTCAACAAAGCCGTTTTTGCTGCCAAATGATGATTTCTTTAAATGTAATTTAGAAGAGGACTGGAAGACATAAGCTTTTCAAAGAATTTTCATTTGGACTATTTCTTGGGTGAAACATGAAATTTTAATATTTGAAATAGGGAGATAGTAGGGCTAGTTAGACTACATGAAGAACGGACTTAATTCTGAGTTCCCCTGCAACATTACAAGTGACCATTTCACTCCTTATATCCCTTTTTGCTGCCCCTGCCTTTCAAGTAATCACATTCATATTGCCTTCATTTTCACAAACATAACTTAATCAAAGTTTGAAACTTTTTATGTTTTATCCTGGCTTCTCATATTCCTATTATCAGGATTCACAAAGAGCACCTAAATCTGCATCAGCCTTACTAATTGTGTGTTGCATTTTTTATTATTTTTACTTGAATTTTCTAATGCTAGAAATAAAATTAGTATCTTGTAATTTCATGCTGTATCTGCAGTGGCATTATTAAATTAGGGTAAATGTTAATTTAACCTCAGATTTGAAGACTGAAGTAATCTCATCTCTAAATTTCCATGCAGCAAACTCATCCACCCCTACTTTCGCACTGCCTAAACATGAAGGAGCATTTTAAATCCTGAAATAATTTGGTTGGAAAGTGACTTCAAGTCTTCAGTTGTAACTACCCCTAAAAACACCTGTCAGCTTTCCATTAGATGAAATAGGATTTAACTTGCTATGTAACTATTTGCCAAATATAAATTGCAAAAACTAGAGATGCTCCATAAGTTAGAATAGACTGGAGTTACACAATTCTTGCTGATGAAGAACATCTTATTATTTATATATTAATAAGTGTAATGAAGAAAAAGTGTATTGCAGAGTGCCTTTTGAGTAGTGTTGTTGCCATGTAAAAATGACTTGTTTTCCCCTTTCAGAAAGGATACACTTTTGTGGCTGAAGCACACACTGGTGACCAACCTGTGCCAGGTGGGAAATGGAAACTCCGCTTCATCAGCTCCCATAGTGCCCTTCCATTTCTCTCTCGTAAGGCTGTAAATAATAGTTATTCCACTCAACAATTTAAGGAGTATTACATACCCAACGATGAGTTCCTACTGTTTAGGTAAATATTGAGAGAAGAATTAATAAATTCTGGGTTTTATATCAATCATCCCTACCAGAAAAGTATGTTCCTTTTCTCTTTCTTAGAAGGGGAGAATATTGATGCAAATATCTGAATTTTATGGGCTATCAAATTAATATTTGATTAGTGAAAGTGTTATTTGTGAAATATTGCCACTATTTAATGAAGAACAAGTGTGAAGTACACAGACTATAACTTTAAAATAAAAATTCAGTGTTTTGCATTTCTGTCGGCTCAGTCTTATCCATAGGCCAATTACTGAAATTCTGTAGTACTTTTGGGGAATAAACATGTATTAAAACCAAGGTTTTGTATTGGGGAGGAGACACAAAATTGTAATTTTTTCAGCTATTGGAATAAAGCTTTAGTTAATACAGGAATAAAACACTTTTTTTCCCAATATATCAGACCAATTTCCATCTTTCAGTATTGCCAGAAAAATTTATATATGATTCTTTTAGGAGAATATATTTAACAAATATGTGATTTAGTTTTTATTAATCCTTTTTTAAAGTTCATTAAAATCCATTCTGAGTTCTGAACTGACCATTACTAAATTGCTATACTGAAATTTTTACACAAAGAACTGAACGCTGCACTACAACAGGCCTTGTGTTTAGAGCTGATTAAATGCATATATTTTGAACGTTAATTTTAAAACATTTTATCCTGATTCCTGAAAGCTTTTTCAATATTTCAAACCAATGGATTATTCTTGGGATAGAGGTCGCTTTAAGAGAAGGAATCAGTTTCAACATAAACGAAGAAAACATGTAATGGAAACAAAACAGATGCACTAAAATTTTGTAAGCACTCTCTTCATGATTTTCATTCTTTCCCCCCTTCTGATGTTACCAATCTTAAAAAAAAAATAATAAAAAAGAAATATATATACATACACACATATATATTTAGCTCCAAGTGTGCTGAATTCAGGGTGATGGATTTTTTGTGTGTTGTTGTTTCTTTGTTTGGTAAGATTAGTCATAACAATTTGAATTTATGGACGAAAAGCTTTATGTATATAATACATAAAGCAATGGGTTACAACAAAATAATTTGAACAATATAACAATTATTTGAATTTGTCCTCAGATTCTAATTCAACAGGTTTTTAATGCCACAGTCTTTTAAGCTGACCAAAGTAGCTATTGCTATCGAAGGAAATATCCCTACCCTTTTGAAAGCAATTTTTTTTCCCCTTATGTACTTTTGTAATGATACAGTTCCCTAATCAGGCTAATGATAGTCAACAAATAAAAGTACAGTAGGCAGCCAAATGTCTATTTGGATATTTGATAAGGCAATGAAAAAAAAAATAGCTAGACCACCCCATTTTTCAGCAGCAGCACTTGCTTTGTATGTTGATTCACTGCACTAAACTTCACTAGAGGAAGCTTAGCCTATCAGATTCCAGGAAAACAGTTGATTTGTAACTCAATTTTAAGTATTTTCTTCCAGTTCAACACAACATTTAGGCAGTTTCCTAAAAAGGAATTATTAGGAATACTTGGTTATATTGCTATAATTTTTTCTTCCTCTTTAGGTATTTTGTAAAAGTCACAGCACCACTTACTGCTACATTGCAGGTTCAAACCTCTAATTCAGATGTATTCATTAAACTACAAGTCCTAGATAATGAGAAGGAAATTACGAGTGTCATTGGAAAGGGCAATGCAGTCATCCCAGTTTTTAATTTCTGGAGTAATCAATCACTTCTGAGCTCCCAGTGTAAGTATTGTATGCTATATTTGATAATTTTATTCAGGATATACATTCTTATAGTAACTGTAGGTAATCACAGAAAATACTATTTTTCCCTGCTCTTTTCATTAATCTTTAATTTTACTGTTCAAACCCAGTAAGTGCAATTGAATGAGGTACATAATTCTTAGACATATTTTAAACAATGGACCCTGTAGTGCTCAGGTAATTTCAAACAAAAATTAAGTACCATCTGCCTGCCTCCATTATAATTCTTATACATAATAGATTTTAGAGGCTACAGCCATGCCATCTTCTTTGATAATCTACATTTGTTTTTCTTGTTGTTTAGAAGTTTTTCTCACTTCTAAATCACATGATTTCCATTTTATTTTTGTGCTATTTTGAATTACTCATTATAGTTGTGTTTCAATTTTAAAATTAATTCTTCGTAAGAATTACAAGTCTGCTTAAATAAAACAGATGTTTATAAGCACCAAGTCTGCTACTGTACTGTCCATGGACACTAATATACATAAGATTTGTAGGATATGAAAGTCTTCAGTCCTTCTATGAAGACTTCTAAACAATAAATCTTCTTTAAATCTGAGTTTGGCTATTTGAGCATATTGGGAACCTGAGGCAAAGACAAATTGTTGAAATACTGGATTATTGCTTTGCTAAAGCCCAAAATAGCATTATATTTCATCTGCTCACCTCCACTGTTTTGAACTGTGGAGTTTTCAAACGTGATTCTTTAGCATAATAAGTAATATGAAATTTCAGTGCTTTATGGGGGGGAAAGAAATTAAGTTAATCATATTTATGAAACATCTTGATTTCTGTCTCAACTGCACCTTGTTATTACCAGAAATGTAAAATTTAATCCTACAGAAACCATGTTCTTAAAACGTAATTCATCAGATGAAAATGATTAGGGTTTTAAAGGAAGTCATAGAGAAGCTGTCATGATTCTCTCTGAGTTACCAGGAGAATCAGTAGCTATTTTTGGTTACTTTTTTTCGAATGTGGAAGTGGACTAGTAAACTTAATACTAGACTGGTGGAAATAGAAACAGGAAAGTATAAAATACATCAGCTTAGGATCAGCATCAGAATAGTGGCAATAAGTTGCCGAGCTACCCTCAGTAAAGTGAAGGAGAAACTTTGTTTCGGGAGACTCTCATTGCAAAGGTGATATCTGATGACTAAAATAAGTTAAAGGCACAGTCAAGTGACAGAGAAGAGAAATGGGTTTCACCAGATGTTGAAAGGGAGAAGATGGGACAGAATAATTAGAAGTGGTGTTTTGCTTCTGCCAGCCTACCAGGACACACATGTAAGAACTTTGCAAAATATCCTCAGAAATCAGACACAAACATTCTAGCTCTAATGTGCTATGATGCAAATAATTTCTACTAATTTAGAATTATTTTAATCCACTGTGATTATTCAGTGAAACATCTGTTACATTAACCTGATTGAAAGTAGGAAGGTTTTTGTATCAGGGCCTAGCAGTGGTGGCCATAAAATCGTGTTAAACTTTCAGGCTATATTTGAAGTTGAAATTCATATTCTAATGCTCTTTAAGTGTGTGTGAATATATAGAGAGTTGCCATTTGGAATGAATGATTGTGAAGCTGTCACTGCTTGTTGGGAATTTTTTACTATTACTTATTTTTTTTTTGCAATACTTATATTTTTTCAATACTAGACCAATTGGCCTTAACATTGAAGTTCTTTTCTATTAATATACATCCTGTATATCACAA